GAATGTTCTGCAATGGCCAAGTCAATCACCTGACCTGAATCCGATTGAGCATTTCACTTGCTGAAGACAAAACTGAAGGGAAAATGCCCCAAGAACAAGCAGGAACTGAAGACAGTTGCAGTAGAGGCCTGGCAGAGCATCACCAGGGATGACACCCAGCGTCTGCTGATGTCTATGCGTTCCACACTTCAGGCTGTAATTGACTGCAAAGGATTTGCAACCAAGTATTAAAAAGTGAAAGTTTTTGATTTATGATTATTATTCTGTCCCATTACTTTTGGTCCCTTAACAAGTGGGAGGCACATATGCAAACTGTTGTAATTCCTACACCGTTCACCTGATTTGGATGCAAATACCCTCAAATTAAAGCTGACAGTCTGCAGTTAAAGCACATCTTGTTCGTTTCATTTTAAATCCATTGTGGTGGTGTATAGAGCCAAAAATGTTAGAATTGTGTCCATGTCCCAATATTTATGGACCTGACTGTATATATAGAAATATATTGAATACGGCCAAAATTGTAGCATTTCAAATATATGTCTATATTTGGGAAGAATATTTTTAAATATATTTCCAAATATATTTTTCTTCCATGTGGGTATGAAGGGCGGTAAATCTTCCAGAGGTCAAGAAGTTAAAGCAGTACGGTTTATTGGCAGTTTTTTTTTTTTAAGTTGGTGACGGGGGGGGGGGGGGAGGGGCTGAGCTCTCTACGAAAATGCAAGTTTCTTGGCTGTTTCCGGCTCCGGTAATCTCTAAGACGGAGTAAATACAGAATCAGTGCAGTCAGACCTCCTGCGTGCTTCTGCAGATCAGTGAGTCAAAGGGGCTGATTTACTAAAACTGGAGAGCGCCAAATCTGGTGTGGCAGCCAATCAGCTTCCAACGTCAGCTTGTTCAATTAAAACCTGGAAGCTGATTGGTTTCTATGCAGAGCTGCACCAGATTTGCACTTTTTCCCCGTTTTTAAGTAAATCAACCCCAGTGAGGGGGATCAGTGTGACAGTTGTCGGTGGTAGTCGCGTATTTCATAGGTTTTCTCTGACACCTTTGTTCTCTGTGCAGACACCTCACAGCACTTCTCTCGCTGACAGAGCCGCATGGTGCCCTCTGCCTCCAAGGAGATCCGGTGATCACGGTGCCCTCTGCCTCCAAGGAGATCCGGTGATCACGGTGCCCTCTGCCTCCAAGGAGATCCGGTGATCACGGTGCCCTCTGCCTCCAAGGAGATCCGGTGATCACGGTGCCCTCTGCCTCCAAGGAGATCCGGTGATCACGGTGCCATCTGCCTCCAAGGAGATCCGGTGATGACCTGAAGGATCACAGAGGATCTATATGACATCTGAGACTTCGCACTTCCTGACCGGCCCTTCATGCTCTGTGTAAGCCGCGTGTCCGCCGACTTTCACTCTGACTTTCTATGAGGTCATCCGTTTCTCCGTCTCATCGCGGAAAAGCCTAAGTACACATTTAAAGTGTTATGAAACCCAAAAGCAAACATTTGCTGTACTATATTGCAGCTTACCAATTCTTAGATGTGATGGCTGCATTAGTTTTCTTTTTTTAGGCTTCCTTTCTTCTACTTTCACTTGGTGATCCAACCAGTATGTCTGTTTTTTTTTTTTTTTTCAAAAGAACAAACTCTCCAGTGGAACGTGTCAGTTACAGGGATGATACACTGGCAAGGGGTGCTTACAATGATCCGTTTTTTAAAACCTTTATCCCAAAAGGAAGAAAAAAACAAAAACTGCTGTAACTGATTATAAAGTGTGAGCGGGAGTTCAGCTTTGATTTGTTAGTATTTTTCAAAATCTGCTAGTCCATCTAACACTCCCCTCCCCCTAGACTGACAATTCTGCTGTCCACAGGTGCCCCCTGTGCTCCTTCCTCCAGAAAGGGGGCGCTCTATAAGGCTCCATGCACACGGGACGTTTTGATAACGCTGGTAACGTTGGCTATGTAAAGTCACGTTAAAAACCGTTTTTCAGCTTTTTTTTTAGCATTTTTGCATTAGCAGTGTTTTTTTCTGCATTTAGCAGCATTTTCCCGTGTTTGAGTTTATTTAGCATTATTTTAACAAAAAAAAAATTTTTTGTAACAAATGCTCTAAATAATAATTTTTTTGGTAAAAAAATAATAAATACATTTCTTTTTGTTAACCACTTCCCGTCCGGCCGTTGAATATAAACGGCCTCCCCGCACCCTGCTTCTGCGCTCTCCTCCGGACACAGTGGAACACCGATCGTCGGATGGGACCTCTGTGTGAGGTCCCGATCATGTGATCACTGATTGGCCAATCAGTGATCACATGCAGAGTAGTAAGCAAAATGTCACTTCTGACATCACTGCTTACTACGTGTGAAATCTGTGAATGATCACAGAGGTCACATGGTACAGGACTATTCACAACAGCCTTGTACCATGTGACAAGCTGTGAACAATCACAGCTCACTCAGTATTTCTCAATGGCTGCAAGAATGCAGCCAAAGAGAAAGAGAAATGATTGATTTTACAGCCTTTATGGGTGTAAAAGCAATCAGTGTAAAAAAAAAAAAATCTTCATCACCCCCCAGAAGTAGTACAGTGTCACTATGGTGACACTGTACTGCTAGGGTGACAGTATGTAAAAAAAACATAAATAATATAAAAAAAATAAAATAAAAATGTAAACAAAAATGTTTAAAAATTATAATTTTTGGTTATAAACTAATTTGGGTTTTTTTTTTTACTAAAAAGATAACGGAATAAATTTTGGCCAAGACTTATGATGAAATATTATTTATTTGCAAGCTAAGGCTTAACCCTTTTTTTCTAAATTTTGGGACTTTTTTATTTGCATAGTAAAAAAAAATTAAAATCCCAGCGGTGAGTAAATACCACCAAAATAAAGTTTTATCTGTCTCAAAAAAATGCTAAAAAATTCATATGGGTACAATGTTGCATGACCGCGCAATTGTCATTCAAACTGTGATAGCACTGAAAGCTGAAAATTGGCCTGGACTGGAAGGGGGGGTGAAAGTGTCCGGACTGGAAGGGGGTGAAAGTGTCCGGACTGGAAGGGGGTGAAAGTGTCCGGACTGGAAGGGGGTGAAAGTGTCCGGACTGGAAGGGGGGGGAAAAGTGTCAAGGGGGGGAAAGTGTCCGGACTGGAAGGGGTGAAAGTGTCCGGACTGGAAGGGGGTGAAAGTGTCCGGACTGGAAGGGGGGGTGAAAGTGTCCGGACTGGAAGGGGGTGAAAGTGTCCGGACTGGAAGGGGGGGTGTCCGGACTGGAAGTGTCCGGACTGGAAGGGGGGGAAAGTGTCCGGACTGGAAGGGGGGGAAAGTGTCCGGACTGGAAGGGGGGGAAAGTGTCCGGACTGGAAGGGGGGGAAAGTGTCCGGACTGGAAGGGGGGGTGAAAGTGTCCGGACTGGAAGGGGGGGAAAGTGTCCGGAAGGGGGGGAAAGTGTCCGGACTGGAAGGGGGGAAAGTGTCCGGACTGGAAGGGGGTGAAAGTGTCCGGACTGGAAGGGGGTGAAAGTGTCCGGACTGGAAGGGGGTGAAAGTGTCCGGACTGGAAGGGGGGGAAAGTGTCCGGAAGGGGGGGAAAGTGTCCGGGGGAAAGTGTCCGGACTGGAAGGGGGTGAAAGTGTCCGGACTGGAAGGGGGTGTGAAAGTGTCCGGACTTGAAGGGGGGAAAGTGTCCGGACTGGAAGGGGGGGGGGCAAAGTGTCCGGAAGGGGGGGGAAAGTGTCCGGAAGGGGGTGAAAGTGTCCGGACTGGAAGGGGGTGAAAGTGTCCGGACTGGAAGGGGGTGATATAGTGTCCAGACTGGAAGGGGGTGAAAGTGTCCGGACTGGAAGGGGGTAAAAGTGTCCGGACTGAAAGGGGGTAAAAGTGTCCGGACTGAAAGGGGGTGAAAGTGTCCGGACTGGAAGGGGGTGAAAGTGTCCGGACTGGAAGGGGGTGAAAGTGTCCGAACTGGAAAGGGGTGAAAGTGTCCGAACTGGAATGGGCTGAAAGTGTCCGGACTGGAAGGGGGGGAAAGTGTCCGGACTGGAAGGGGGTGAAAGTGTCCGGACTGGAAGGGGGTGAAAGTGTCCGGACTGGAAGGGGGTGAAAGTGTCCGGACTGGAAGGGGGTGAAAGTGTCCGGACTGGAAGGGGGTGAAAGTGTCCGGACTGGAAGGGGGTGAAAGTGTCCGGACTGGAAGGGGGTGAAAGTGTCCGGACTGGAAGGGGGGTGTATAGTGTCTGGACTGGAAGAGGGTGTAATAGTGTCCGGACTGGAAGGGGGGGGAAGGGGGTGTAAAGTGTCCGGACTGGAAGGGGGGTGTATAGTGTCCGGACTGGAAGGGGGTGAAAGCGTCCGGACTGAAAGCGCCCGGACTGGAAGGGGGTGTGAAAGCGCCCGGACTGGAAGGGGGTGAAAGCGCCCAGACTGGAAGGAAGGGGGGAAAGTGTCCGGACTGGAAGGGGGTGAAGTGTCCGGACTGGAAGGGGGGTGAAAGCGCCCGGACTGGAAGGGGGGTGAAAGCGCCCGGACTGGAAGGGGGTGAAAGCGCCCGGAGACTGGAAGGGGGGAAAGCGTCGCCCGGACTGGAAGGGGGTCCGGACTGGAAGGGGGTGAAAGCGTCCGGACTGGAAGGGGGTGAAAGCGTCCGGACTGGAAGGGGGGGAAAGTCCGTCCGGACTGGAAGGGGGGTGAAAGCGTCCGGACTGGAAGTGGTTAAGCCTTTAGAATCACTTTGAGCTGCAATATATTACCAGGTTTTTGGTTTATTAACACTTATATTTCTTTAAATAGTTGCTCTGCGCCAAGCTGGCCCACACAGACTACTTACTGCACTAACAGGTGCCCTTGCTGGGTGTGCTTTATATTCCTTATATTAAAAGTAAGCAGCTACAGTATATGTTTTTTTGGGTGAACCTGGAGATCCTCTAAGTTGTTCCTTTTAGAGTATACTTTGGGTTGCTCAGGTTCAGATACTTATATTGAGTCTTTCTCCTCCATAGTGACAATGAAGAGAAGAGCGGAACGTGACTTAGAGAGCAGCGCTCTTAGTAAACAGAAGAAACGTATTGAAGAATTGGGCCTCAATCTAAGCTCCACCTCCGATGATGACACCCAGTACAGCAATCATGGCACCCAGGGTAAAGCGTTCTGACATTTCCCGATCCAGGGCCCTGACTACAGAACTCCAAGTTAAAAAAAAGTGGTATCTTCAAGAGCCAATCAGCCATCTGCTCTCTGAATGGTTGCTTTGGGCTGCAGCTCCTCATTCCTCTTCACTTGTGTTTCTAGATAAATCACGTCATGTGACAATCCCCCCATACACAGTGGTTGCGAAGCCCTAACGTTTTCTATCTGAATGCATTCCCTGTAGTAAAGTGTTGTAAAGGCCAAAGGTTTTTTTTTTTACCTTTTTGCATTCTGTGCAAGAAGGTAATAAGTAGTGAAATGAAAATCCTGGTGCCGAAACCGAAAATTCAAAATGCACTTGGCCGAACACCGAAACCGAAATGCACAGTTTTTAATAATGAATATATATATTTTTGGAAAAAAATACACTTTGAAGAAAAAAAAAAAAAAATATATACCCAAATTTTTTTTGTAAAATATGAAAGAGGATGTTACGGCGAGTAAATAGATACTCAACATGTCACGCTTTAAAATTGCGCACGGGTCGTGGAATGGCGTGAAACTGCGGTACTTAAAAATCTCCATGGGTGATGCTTTAAAAATGTTTACATGTTAGCCGTGTAAAGTTACAGAGGAGGTCTGTGAACGAGAATTATTACTCTTGCTCTGACATTCGTGGCGATATCCTCACGTGTGTGGTTTGAACACCCGTTTACATATGTGGGCATGGCCTACGTATGCGTTCACCACTACGTGTGAGCACGGGGGGGGGGGGGGGGGGGGCAGGGGCACTTTAAACTTTTTTTTTAAATTTATTTATTTATTTTGCACTGTGCCTGTAAAAAAAATTTTTAACCACTTTTATATTTATCACAAGAAATGCATGCATTCCCTGTGATAGAAATAATTAGTGACAGGTCCTCTTTATGGAGAGATATGGGGGTCAATAAGACCCCACATCTCCCCTCTACAATATAAAGCATTGGATCAAAAAAAATCATTGATCTAGTGTTTTAAAAAAAAATGTCCGGAACAGAAGTGATATCGCTCCGGTCCTCCAAGGGCATAGAGATGAGTGGAGGCCATCTTTCCTTCACTCATCTCTATGCCCAGCGCTGGGATCGTTCGATGGTTTCTCAGGGAAGGCTGAGAACTACCGAGTGGTGGCAACGGCGGGGAGCGAGGGGCGGGGTTTTTTCAGCACCTGTATCAGTGCTTTTTTTTATTTCGGCCGAAAGGGGTGTTTTCGACTGAAACATTTCGGCCACCAAAATTTCAGTGTATTTCTTGTAATAAGCCTTCTGTGCCTCACTAATACCCTAAGCCCCCTCTCGATCCAGCGATGTGCATGAGAGCCTTGGCTGACCTGGGTCTCTCTCTCCTCATTGGCTGAGACAGCAGCGGTAGCCATTGGCTCCCGCTGCTGTCAATCACAGTAAGCCAATGAGCTGGGTGGTGGGGGCCGAGCTGCCGCTCTGTGTGTCCTATGGGAGCATGCACCAGTACCCACATAGCAAGTGGCTTAATATTGGGGACACTGGTAGAGTGGGAGGAGCCAGGAGCATTGACGGGGGACCTGAGAAGAAGAGGATCGAGGCTGCTCTGTGTAAAACCATTACACAGAGCAGGTAAGTAATACATGTTTTTATATTTTTTTAAAGAAAAAAAAGAAGCTTTAATGTCACCTCAAGGTAAAAAAAATCTTCCATTACCAGTACCACTTCTTCATAAACCCTCCCCCCCTTTTACTTGCCTGAGTCCTGACTCAATGACAGCACAGTGCCTGTCTGTAGTGGCTCCCCATGCTCTCAATTGCTTCTACTGTTAGTCAAATTCTGTGGCAAGGGGGCGGGGCTGAGCTGCTCTGTGTGTCTATGGACACAGGCAGCGAGCTTGGGATTGAACACGCAAAGTGGGCCCTCATAGGAAGCGGCTTCCTATGAGGGCCCCCTGAGAAGTGGAGGAGCTTGGAGCGCCAGTGGAGGCCCCAGAAGAGTAGGTTCGGTTGTCCCCAGAAGAGTAGGTTCGGGATTGCTCTGTGGAGGCCCCAGAAGAGTAGGTTCGGGGATTGCTCTGTGGAGGCCCCCAGAAGAGTAGGTTCGGGGTTGCTCTGTGGAGGCCCCAGAAGAGTAGGTTCGGGATTGCTCTGTGGAGGCCCAGAAGAGTAGGTTCGGATTGCTCTGTGGAGGCCCCCAGAAGAGTAGGTTCGGGAGGCCCCCAGAAGAGTGCTCTGTGGAGGCCCCCAGAAGAGTAGGTTCGGGGTTGCTCTGTGGAGGCCCCCAAAAGTAGGTTCGGGATTGCTCTGTGGAGGCCCCCAGAAGAGTAGGTTCGGGGTTGCTCTGTGGAGGCCCCCAGAAGAGTAGGTTCGGGATTGCTCTGTGGAGGCCCCCAGAAGAGTAGGTTTCGGGGTTGCTCTGTGGAGGCCCCCAGAAGAGTAGGTTCGGGGTTTGCTCTGTGGAGGCCCCCAGAAGAGTAGGTTCGGGGTTGCTCTGTGGAGGCCCCCAGAAGAGTAGGTTCGGGGTTGCTCTGTGGAGGCCCCCAGAAGAGTAGGTTCGGGGTTGCTCTGTGGAGGCCCCCAGAAGAGTAGTAGGTTCGGGGCTCCCCCAGAAGAGTAGGTTCGGGGTTGCTCTGTGGAGGCCCCCAGAAGAGTAGGTTCGGGATTGCTCTGTGGAGGCCCCAGAAGAGAAGGTTCGGGGTTGCTCTGTGGAGGCCCCCCAGAAGAGTAGGTTCGGGGTTGCTCTGTGGAGGCCCCCAGAAGAGTAGGTTCGGGGTTGCTCTGTGGAGGCCCCCAGAAGAGTAGGTTCGGGGTTGCTCTGTGGAGGCCCCCAGAAGAGTAGGTTCGGGGTTGCTCTGTGGAGGCCCCCAGAAGAGTAGGTTCCGTTGCTCTGTGGAGGCCCCAGAAGAGTAGGTTCGGGGTTGCTCTGTGGAGGCCCCCAGAAGAGTAGGTTCGGGGTTGCTCTGTGGAGGCCCCCAGAAGAGTAGGAGTAGGTTCGGGGTTGCTCTGTGGAGGCCCCCAGAAGAGTACGTTCGGGGTTGCTCTGTGGAGGCCCCCAGAAGAGTAGGTTCGGGGTTGCTCTGTGGAGGCCCCCAGAAGAGTAGGTTCGGGGTTGCTCTGTGGAGGCCCCCAGAAGAGTAGGTTCGGGGTTGCTCTGTGGAGGCCCCCAGAAGGTAGGTTTGGGGTTGCTCTGTGGAGGCCCCCAGAAGAGTAGGTTCGGGGTTGCTCTGTGGAGGCCCCCAGAAGAGTAGGTTCGGGGTTGCTCTGTGGAGGCCCCCAGAAGAGTAGGTTCGGGGTTGCTCTGTGGAGGCCCCCAGAAGGGTAGGTTCGGGGTTGCTCTGTGGAGGCCCCCAGAAGAGTAGGTTCAGGGTTGCTCTGTGGAGGCCCCCCAAAGAGTAGGTTCAGGGTTGCTCTGTGGAGGCCCCCAGAAGAGTAGGTTCGGGGTTGCTCTGTGGAGGCCCCAGAAGAGTAGGTTCGGGGTTGCTCTGTGCAATCTGTAGGTAAGTCTAAACCTTTTTGTAAAAAAAAATAAATAAGACTTTACAACCACTATAAATCTGGACTGCAGGCTCCTCCCCTGTACAGTGTTTTCTGTGTGTTTATCCATTCTCCTTTGCTTGTGCTCCTTATGTACTGAGTCTGAATGGTGTTTTCTGCCCTTCCACAGAGTCTTCCACTAGTGGGACGGCTCAGACAGTGAGATCGATGAGAAGAGACCTGTGTTTGGGTCGGGGGATAAAGAAACAATGGACCCCCTGGCAGAAGGCACATCATCCCGCTACTCCATGTTTAACAGCGTCTCCCCAGAAACTCATGGTAATCACATTCCGGGCATCACTCCGGGTAACAACTGTTCAGGGCGGAGTTTAGTTCGAACTGCATTCTGCAGAACTATAAAATGAGGAATTAACCGCTTAAGGTCCGCCCTATAGCAGATTTATTGCTACAGGGCGGCACCTGAGCGCAAAATCACATATATATATACATGATTTCGCATTTCCTGGTAGGGGCGAGCGCCCTACCCGCACCGCCATTCGTGGCTGCTGTCATGGAAATTTTGTATTTACAGGTTGAACTTTAAATGTGTCATATATTAGTGTTATTCATATGTCTCTCGTGTGGCTTAATTAAAGCCCTGAAGGCTGCAATTGGGCCATGCGCATGTACAATGTATGTATTACAGTACTCAGCTCGGTAATGGATGAGATGGCAGATCTGCGCTTATAGACCGGCGTGTATGCCACCACGACATTCGATGCGAATGCCGCCGGCGGTAGGCCGCGGGCCTGTATCCACATATCAGCAGCATAGTACCACATGGACTTCGTACCGCAAGGCGCCAAGCAGTGCGAACTCCGTGTGTAGGCTCATGTATATCTTACAAGCCATTACCGACCTGAAACTGTATCTGGATGGATGTGTTTTAATAAAGATCGTATCGGGCCCATTCAGATACAGACTGGCACTGTTTAATCTAGGGGATGCTTGTACAGAGAATTTACATACCACTAGGAGCTAATAGGAGGGGGAAGGTTGCTTCCCTCAGAGAGCTCATGGAGGGAGGGGGAGGACTGGTGATAGATAAGAGGAAAGGCTACGCTCCAATCGGAATGTACATCCTGTGTATAGGCACCCCCATGCATTGTTCTGTGGGAGGGGATTGACCTGACTCATGTGGGGGGCGTGTGTGTGTTTGTAATAAAAATCGGAGGCTGGGGTTGGATCCCTCGCTATGTTAATTCCAACAGCAACCTGAGAGTGTCGTGTGTGATCATTCCTGGGTACCTGGAGCTCCATTTCCCACATCCCGAGATAGCTAACCCAGTTGGAGGCGCAGGATTCGTGGAGTTTAGCTTCAGTCGCGGTAAGCGAAGTTCGCACAGCTTTATGGGGGATTGCTGCGCATCCAACTGCGAGTACTCACGGTAAGGATAAATTCGTTAAAAGCGAATTTCCAAGACATTGCGGATGTCAATCAGCGGGTACCGGCCATAATTACCCCCCGCACCCATGATTACCGAGCATCTCCGACAGGGAGGAAGATTGTTTTGTTTACAAACAATCTTCCTCCCTGTCAGCTCGAGCACACTGCCATCCTAATCAGTGTGCTTACTGTGAATCACACACTCCCCGCCCCCTAGTAAAACACTCCCATCACACAGTTAACCCTTTGATCACCCCTCACATTAACCCCTTCCTGCCCAATGCCATTAGTACAGTGTCAGTGCTTTTTTTTTTTTTTTTAGCACTGCATTGGTGTCACTGGAGATGTCAGTGACACCAAGTTAGTTCCCCCCCCAGTTTCAGAATGTCTGCTGCAGTCCCGCTGAAAGTCGCTGATCGCTGCCATTACTAGTAGAAAAAAAAAAAACCCCAATGTCTATACCGCCATTTGTAAATGCTATAACTTTCACGTTAACCAATTAATTTACATGTCTTGAGATTTTTTTTTTTACCAAGACACGGAGCAGAATACATTTTGGCCTAAATTTATGACAAAATTTGATTTTCTTTTAATTTTTTTACTGGACTTTTTTAATAGCAAAAGTCCAAAATATATATTTTTTTCTCAAAATTGTCAGTCTGTTTTTGTTTATAGCGCAAAAAATAAATAAAACTCACAGGCGATCAAATACCACCAAAAGAAAGCTCTGTTTGTAGGAAAGAAGGATGTAACTGTCATTTGGGTGCAGCGTTGCATGACCGCGCAATTATCATTTAAAGTAACGCAGCGCCGTAATGCAAAAAATGGCCTGGTCAGGAAGGGGGGGGGGGGAATCCTCCAGAGGGCGAGGGGTTAATATTGCGTATACTAAAACATAAATGACTGGCAGGGCTGAATGCCCAGTCTTTGTATTGTCAGTAAACATTTTTGTAGCACAAAGTTGAACTGTTCGTTGTGTTTATTTTCTGTATAAGCGTGCAATGTATTCCTGGTTGTTAAATTGTTGAATTGTCTCTTTCCACCATTTAGGCGAAGATGGGTTTTCGGGAAGGCGAGGGTTTGGGGAAGTTCGGCCAGGGCCGAAAGGAGATTGTCGAAGCTTCCAAGCAGAAAGGGCGGAGAGGTCTCGGATTGATCTTAAAAGGGTTCGAGAAGGATCTGGATGTGGACTGGAGGAATCAGCCTGAGGTGAGTGGTGAGCATATGAAGGGAGTATAGGTGAGGGATCAGCCTGAGGTGAGTGGTGAGAACATGGAGGGTGTGTGGTTGGAGCGACCAGTCCGAGTTGAATGGTGAGCACAAGGAGGGTGTATAGATATTGGCTCATCCTGAGGTAAGTGGTGAGCATATGGAGGGTGAATAGATGAGGGATCAGCCTGGGGTGAGTGGTGAGCACATGGAGGGTAGATGTGGATCAGCCTGAGATGAGCATATGGAGGGTGTATAGATGGAGGGATCAGCCTGAGGTGACTGGTGAGCATATGGAGGGTGTATAGATGGAGGGATCAGCCTGAGGTGAGTGGTGAGCATATGGAGGGTGTATAGATGGAGGGATCAGCCTGAGGTGACTGGTGAGCATATGGAGGGTGTATAGATGGAGGGATCAGCCTGAGGTGAGTGGTGAGCATATGGAGGGTGTATAGATGGGGGCAGCTTGGGGTGAATGGTGAACACATGAAGGGTGTATGGTTGGAGGGGCAGCCTGAGGTGAGTGGTGCGCACATGGAGGGTGTATAAATGGGGGACCATCCTGAGGAAAATGGTGAGCACATGGATGGAGGGACCAGTCTGGGGTGAGTGATGAGCGCATGGAAGCTGTATATATAGAAGGATCAGGTTGAGGAGAGTGATGCGCACATGAAGGGTGTATAGATGGGGGATCAGCCTGGGGTGAATGGTGAGCACATGGAGGTTTATGGATGAAGGGATCAGCCTGAGGCGAGTGGTGCTCACATGGTAAGTTTATAGATGAAGGTGTCCCCCTGAGGTGAGTGGGAAGAACATGGAGGGTGTATGGTTGGAGGGACCAGTTTGGGGTGAATGGTGAGCACAAGGCAGGTGTATAGATGGTGGATCATACTAAGGTGAGTGGTGATCACATGAAGGGTGTATAAATGGAGGGATTAGCCTGAGGTGAGTGGTGAGGACATGAAGGGTGTATGGATGGAGGGACCATTCTGGGGTGAGTGGTGAGTACATGAAGGGTGTATGGTTGGAGGCACCATCCTGGGGTGAGTGGGGAGTACATGAAGAGTGTATGGTTGGAGGGACCTTCCTGGGGTGAGTGGTAGTACATGAAGGGTGTATAGTTGGAGGGCCATCCTGGGGTGAGTGGTAAGTATGTGAAGGGTGTATGGATGGAGGGACCATTCTGGGGTGAGTGGTGAGTACATGAAGGGTGTATGGTTGGAGGCACCATCCTGGGGTGAGTGGTGAGTACATGAAGAGTGTATGGTTGGAGGGACCTTCCTGGGGTGAGTGGTAAGTACATGAAGGGTGTATGGATGGAGGGACCATCCTGGGGTGAGTGGTGAGTACATGAAGGTTGTATGGTTGGAGGGTGACCATCCTGGGGGTGAGTGGTGAGTACATGAAGTGGGGTGTATGGATGTAGGGACCATGGTGAGTACATGGGGTGAGGACCATGGGGTGAGTGGTGAGTACATGAAGGGTGTATGGATGGAGGGACCATCCTGGGGTGAGTACATGAAGGGTGTATATGAAGGGTGTATGAAGGGTGTATGGAGGAAGGACCATCCTGGGGTGAGTGGTGAGTACATGAAGGGTGTATGGATGGAAGGACCATCCTGGGGTGATGGTGAGGACATGAAGGGTGTATGGTTGGAAGGACCATTCTGGGGTGAGTGGTGAGGACATGAAGGGTGTATGGTTGGAGGGACCATCCTGGGGTGAGTGGGGAGGACATGAAGGGTGTATGGTTGGTAGGACCATCCTGGGTGAGTGGGTGATGGGGACCATCCTGGGGTGATGGTATGGTTGGAGACCATCCTGGGGTGAGTGGTGAGGACATGAAGGGTGTATGGTTGGAGGACCATCCTGGGGTGAGTGGTGAGGACATGAAGGGTGTATGGTTGGAAGGACCATCCTGGGGTGAGTGGTGAGGACATGAAGGGTGTATGGTTGGAGAGGGACCATCCTGGGGTGAGTGGTGAGGACATGAAGGGTGTATGGTTGGAGGGACCATCCTGGGGAGTGAGTACATGAAGGGTGTATGGTTGGAGGGACCATCCTGGGGTGTGTGTACATGAAGGGTGTGTAGTTGGAGGGACCATCTTAGGGTGAGTGGTGAACACATGGGTGTATGGATGGAGGGACCATCCTGGGGTGAGTACATGAAGGGTGTATGGTTGGAGGGACCATCCTGGGGTGAGTGGTGAGGACATGAAGGGTGTATGGTTGGAGGGACCATCCTGGGGTGAGTGGTGAGGACATGAAGGGTGTATGGTTGGAGGGACCATCCTGGGGTGAGTACATGAAGGGTGTATGGTTGGAGGACCATCCTGGGGTGATGGTGAGGACATGAAGGGTGTATGGATGGAGGGACCATCCTGGGGTGAGTACATGAAGGGTGTATAGTTGGAGGGACCATCTTAGGGTGAGTGGTGAACACATGAATGGTGTATGGATGGAGGGACCATCCTGGGGTGAGTACATGAAGGGTGTATGGTTGGAGGGACCATCCTGGGGTGAGTGGTGAGGACATGAAGGGTGTATGGTTGGAGGGACCATCCTGGGGTGAGTGGTGAGGACATGAAGGGTGTATGGTTGGAGGGACCATCTTAGGGTGAGTGGGGAGGACATGAAGGGTGTATGGTTGGAAGGACCATCCTGGGGTGAGTGGTGAGCACATAGAGGGTGTATGGATGGAAGATGAAGGTATAAGGTGAAGAGCCGGCAACTCGTCCATCTGAAAAAGTCACTTTATTACATGAAATGGAGTGTACACAGTACAGTGGTTTACGCATTTCGGCGATAAGTCTTCGTGGCTGTGTGTAAGGCGTATTGCCGAAACGCGTAAACCACTGTACTGTGTACACTCCATTTCATGTAATAAAGTGACTTTTTCAGATGGACGAGTTGCCGGCTCTTCACCTTATACCTCCATCCTCCATTGGTGTTGGGAAGACACTCTGCAGGAGCACCGTCCTTCATGGGGAATCTGTCTGGGCATTGAGATTTTCTTCTGATGGTATAGATGGGAGGGATCGGGCTGAGGTGAGTGATGAGCACCCTCCTACTCTACTGTAGGAAGAGGGTAGACTTGGGATCCAGCTCGTCACATGACCATGGATTAAGGTCTTTATTACTGATTGTTTTATAAAGGTGCAGTCTTAGATTTTGCTACCCAGTCAGTCACTGGCCTAGAAAAAGCATGCAGCCAGTGAAGTGTGATGAGTCTGGACATTCTGCCAGCTCGTTGCAGGTCAGAATCTCACGAAGTACTTTTGCTTTATGAACATATGGATGGTGTGACAGGAGTCACTTTGGGTGGGGGGGCCAATGGAACACAGCTCACTTTGGAGTGGTGGGGAGACCCCTTTCTCAGCTCCCCATATCCCTATTATGTGTAACTCACCCTGTGCCTGTTAGGGGTACACGTGATCTGTCCTAATATTGGGGTGGGGGGGTTGTGGATTGTTTGGTGTTATGTGGCTGCATCCCATTGTTCTATTGTTTGGGAGCAAACTATTATGGGATGTATGTGTTTATGTGTATTGGCTTGGTGGGGGGGGTGTCTCCAGCAGCCCTCCCTCCTGATGGGACTGTCTGCTGGTGTGTCTCTTGTTACTAAATGTAGTTTTCCCACCCTGTGTCATTATGCCTGTTAGGGGTACAGGGTGATCTGTCCTAATATTGGGTTGGGGGGTTGTGGATTGTTTAATGCCATGTGGTTGCATCTCATTGTTCTATTGTATGTCTGGCTTGGGAGCAAACTATTATGGGATGTTTGTGTTTATGTGTATTGGCTTGGTGGTGGGGTGTCTCCAGCAGCCCTCCCTCCTGATGGGACTGTCTGCTGGTGTGTCTCTTGTTACTAAATGTAGATTGTCCCGCCCTGTGTCATTATGCAGGGAGGGGGGGGGGTTGTTCCCTTGAATGTATATATCTTGTATCTGTGTTAAAATAAAGTAGTCTATTTCCTGGTTTTACTTCAAGACTGGTGTTGTCTAGTCTTCTGTGGTCTGCTGTGGTGCCTGTGGTCGGTGTTCGCACGGTGAAGCGGGGGTCTAACGGAAGTACCCAAGTGCAGTCGGGGTTCCGGTTCCGTTACAGATGGCATCCCTGCAAATCTCTCAAATCAAGTCAAACAATTTCCTCATTTCTGTCCTCACACATTCATTTTTATCACCTGCAGTTGTTGGGGCGATTCAAAGCAATGTCTAAATGTTTTTATGTTTGATATTGTAGCCAACAGCCTACGAAGAAGTCGATTGGTTCCCAGAATGTACTACAGAGATTCCAGATTCTGATGAGCTGTCTGACTGGGTGACAGTGGGCAAGGTAAGGATGTTCATTAGTGAGAAGGACGATGTTAGGATTATTATCGGTGGGCTTTTGTTGGCTATAAACGACTTCTCTCCCCAAACAAGTCTATGGGAATGTAAAAGCCGCTGAAGTCACCTGAACTTACAGTACATCCTGAATGATCTCAGAAGTGTCTACAACTAATAATAAAAGCTTTTATCCATCAAAGCCTGACAACACAGGCAGTGCAGTATGGAGGAGGTAGCACTGACGGGCTGTGTAGGGGAAGAGGAAGGCAGGAAAGGACTCCTCAGTGCCTCTTGGTCTGATTCATTATCATCCAGGACAGAGTGTGGACTGTGTAGAGTTTTGCATATTAACCATTTCAATACCGGGCAATTTTCCCCCTTCCTGCCCAGGCCATTTTTCAGGTTTCAGCGCTCTCACACTTTGAATGACAATTGCGCGGTCATACAACACTGTACCCAAACTAAAATTTTATCATTTTCTTCACACAACTAGAGCTTTATTTTGGTGGTATTTAATCACCACTGGGGTTTTTATTTTTTGCTAAATTAACAAAAAAAGACCAAAAATTTTGAAAAAAAAACACATTTTTCTTTGTTTCTGTTATAAAAGTTTACAAATAAATAATTGTTCTTCATAAATTTAGGCCGAGATGTATTCTGCTCCATGTCTTTGGTGAAAATAACCCAAATTAGGATGTATTTTTTAGTTTGTAGGAAAGTTATAGAGTTCACAAACTATGGGATAGATCTGAATATTGATCAATCCTGAAGTACTGACGGCCAATCTAATTTCTTGAGGTCCAAGAATGTCAGAATAGTACAGATATCCCCCAAATGACCCCTTTTTGCAGAGTAGACAGTCCAACGTACTTCAGAAGAGACATGGCGAGTTTTTTGAAGTTGTATTTTTTTGTCATAATTTTTTTGGAAAATGAAAAAATTAAAAAAATTATTTTCACTATTTTTTTTTTTACATACTGTCACCAGTGCAGTACAGTGTCATCATATAACTGGCATGGCGGTGAACAGGGACACTGACTGGTGACAGTATGAAAAAAAAAAATATATATATTTTTTTAATTTTTTAAAAAATTTTTATATTTAATTTTTTATTACATTTTTTTTAAAGATTTTTTTTTCATATTTTACTATGACCAAAGTAGTACAATGTTACCATAGTAACATTGTACTACTTTGGGGAAGTGATCAGTATTTTTTTTTTTTTTTTTTTACACAATTTGCTTATAGCAAAGAATTACTTTGCTATAAGCAAGCATTTACCTGACTGAAATCGATTCATTCAGCTTTTTTTTTTTTTTTGTGCTTAGCTGTGATTTGGTCACAGCTAATCACATGACATGTGCATGTGATCAGCTGTGACCATTCACAGCTAGGCACTAGTATACAATGGATGGCATCATGAATGAAGCCATCCATTGTATACAACTGTCATGTGACCTGCTGTGATTGGTCACAGCAGGTCACATGGTACCAGCAATGGGAGCCGGTACTCGGATCTGTCATCGGCCGTGTCCGAGGTGCACGGCCGGTGACAGATCGCACTGCTGCGCCGCTCTGCATTAGCACAAACGGCGCATGTGCGGGAGCATGCCAAATGGCGTGCACCCGGAGTGGAGAGACACTTCTGAAGCCGCCAAACGGCCATTGGCCGGGCGGCTAATGGTTAAACACTTCCCGTCTGGCCGCTGTATATAAACGGCCGGGACAGTGGCAGTACAGGGATCGGGTTGCCGTACATAAATGGTGCCCGCCATTATTGATTGTGCGCGCGGCACCGCGATCCGGTGCCCGCTGTGTCCGGAGGAACATAGATCCCTGTACGGGACCTCTGTGAGATCCCGATCATGTGATCAGTGATTGGCCAATTAGTGATCACATAAATAGTAGTAAGCAAGATGTCACTTCTGACATCATTGCTTACTACGTGTGAAATCTGTGAATGATCACCGAGGTCACATGGTACAAGGTTGTTCACAACAGTCTTGTACCATGTGACAAGCTGTGACCAATCACAGCTCACACAGTATTTTTCAATGGCTGCAAGAATGCAGCCACACAGGAGAAATGATTGCTTTATGCAATACAGCCTTTATGGGTGTAAACGCAATCAGTGTAAAAAAATAAATAAATAAATCTTCATCACCCCCCACAAGTAGTACAGTGTCACCATGGTGACACTGTACTGCTAGGCTGACAGTATGTAAAAAAAAAATATATAAATAAATTAAAATAAAAATTTATTTTTTTTAAATTATAATTTTTGGTTATAAACTAATTTTAGGTTATTTTGTTTTACTAAAAAACATAACTGCATACATTTTGGCCAAGATTTATGATGAAATATTATTTATTTGCAAAATTTTATAAGAAAAACACTTTTTTTCAAAATTTTTGGACTTTTTCATTTATATAGCATAAAAAAATAAAAAAATCCAGTGGTGAATAAATACCACCAAAATAAAGCTTTGTCTGTCTCAAATAATTGCTAAAAAAATTCATATGGGTGTTGCATGACCGCACAACTTGTCATTCAAATTGTAATAGCGCTGAAAGCTGAAAATTGGCCTGGACAGGAAGGGGGGAAAGTGTCCGGACTGGAAGGGGGTGAAAGTGTCCGGACTGGAAGGGGGTGAAAGTGTCCGGACTGGAAGGGGGGGAAAGTGTCCGGACTGGAAGGGGGTGAAAGTGTCCGGACTGGTAGGGGGTGAAAGTGTCCGGACTGGAGGGGGGGGAAAGTGTCCGGACTGGAAGGGGGTGAAAGTGTCCGGACTGGAAGGGGGTGAAAGTGTCCGGACTGGAAGGGGGGGAAGTGTCCGGACTGGAAGGGGTGAAAGTGTCCGGACTGGAAGGGGGTGAAAGTGTCCGGACTGGAAGGGGGTGAAAGTGTCCGTACTGGAAGGGGGGGGAAAGTGTCCGGACTGGAAGGGGGTGAAAGTGTCCGGACTGGAAGGGGGGGAAAGTGTCTGGACTTGAAGTGGTTAATTCTCCTTGCTCTTCACTTGTATTACAGAGGAAAATAATCATAGATGATGAGACGGAATTCTGCAGAGAACAGCTGCTGGAAAACCTGTTGGAGTGTAAGGTAAGGCTGCCACTTTTTGCCTAAATAATAGGGGGCCCATAGAGATGGGAGAAGGTACCCTAAAACCCCCTCTCATCAGGGTTTACAAACCTGTTCTTTGCTCCGCATGCAAGTTTTTTTTTTTTTTTTTGCAGCTGCATACACATGTGAAACTTTAGATATGCAAAACATAATGTACTGAAAGTAACCAAAAATTTCCTTCCCTCATATTTCCTGTCCTGATTTGTGGCTGAGCTCCTGTCTTATATTTGAAGAAAAAAAAAATAATTGGGGTTTTGTCAGACAGAAAAAAAGATTTTTTACTGGCTTCTGTGATGCTGAGCATGGTTTTGGGGCTCAGCCTTAAAGCGGAGCTCCACCCAAAAGGGGAAGTTCTGCTTTAAGGACTGCTCCCCGCTCCCCATTAAGGATTGGTACCTTTGGGGAGCGGGTACCCAAATTTGTCAGGTACCCGCTCCCACTTACGGTCCGATTGCCTAGGCGATCGGAAGCGGAAGGTGTCCTCCCCTCCCTCCCTGTAGTCTTTTGGGACACGTGACAGGTCCCAGAACACTACAGGACCATTCATGAAGCGCAGTGCTTCTCGCACATGCTCAGTGGGTACCCGGCTGTGAAGCCACAAGCTGTCGCAGTTGGGTGCCCACACTGAAGATGTCGGCCTCCTGGAATACACCACGGGACCGAGGGACAGGTAAGTGGCTGTTTTTTTTTTAAAAGTCAGCAGCTACAGTTTTTGTAGCTGCTGACTTTTATTTTTTGACAGGATGAGTGGAACTGCGCTTTAAGGCTAGGTTCACATCTGTGCGGGTGGTGCCGCTGCGGATCCGCACAAAAATCCGTGCAGCACAGAGGAATGCAGACCCGCAGGCGGTTGCCATTGGTTCTAATGACACGCCCCCGGCACTGGAAACCGCAACCGTACTGGGGACCTGCGTTTTCAGTGTCACGGGGACACGGGAGTCCATTCAAATGAATGGGCCTCGTGCCCGCTCAAAACGTGGCCCGCGCGGCCGCAGATATGTGAACCGGGGCTTAGAGCTATGAGGAAAAAGCTGACAGAATGGTCACGTGACCATTCTGGAAAAAAAAAAAAAAAAAAATGTGTTATTTCTTTCACATTATTACCTAAACAACATGCCTAACCACTGGTCATACATTTCCATTATGGATTTAACCTTTTCGCTGGCAGAGCCGTTTATTCTTTAATTTTTTTTCACACATGTTTAAAAAATCATATTAGGCCTGAACAATTGCATAAAAACATATATTTCCCTAGAGCAGGGGTAGGCAACCATAGAGAGGTGGAGATCTACCTGATCAACATGGGAGAAATCAGTCACCACCAGGCACCTCCTCACTTCCTGATTTAATCCTTTCATTTCCATACTAAGGCAATCACATGCATTGCACAGCAATTATCGGTTTAACCACCTCCCGTCCGGCCGTTGTATATAAACGGCCGGACGGTGGCAGTGCAGGGTCGGGTGGCCATTTATAAACGGTTTCCCCACCCCCCGCTTGTGAGCGCTCCCTGGGAGCGTGCAGAACCGCGATCCGGTGCCCGCTGTGTCCTCCGGACACAGTGGAACACCCATCGTCATACGGGACCTCTGTGTGAGGTCCCGATCATGTGATCACTGATTGGCCAATCAGTGATCACATGCAGAGTAGTAAGCAAGATGTCACTTCTGACATCATTGCTTACTACGTGTGCAATCTGTGAATGATCACAGAGGTCACATGGTACAAGGCTATTCACAACAGCCTTGTACCATGTGACAAGCTGTGACCAGTCACAGCTCTCACAGTATTTTTCAATGGCTGCAAGAATGCAGCCAGAGAGAAGGAGAAATGATTGCTTTTACAGCCTTTATGGGTGTAAAAGTATTCAGTGTAAAAAAAAAAAAAAATCTTCATCACCCCCCACAAGTAGTCCAGTGTCACCATGGTGATACTGTACTGCTAGGGTGACAGTATGTAAAAAAAAAACCCCACATAAATAATAATATAAAATAAAAATGTAAAAAAAAAAGTTTAAAAATTATAATTTTTGGTTATAAACTAATTTGGGTTATTTTTTCTTTACTAAAAAGATAACAGAATAAATTTTGGCCAAGATTTATGGAGAAATATTATTTATTTTCAATATTTTATAAGAAAAACTCTTTTTTTCAAAATGTTTGGACTTTTTCATTTACATAGCAAAAAAAATAAAAATTCCAGCGGTGAATAAATACCACCAAAATAAAGCTTTATCTTTCTCAAAAAATGCTAAAAAATGCATATGGGTACAGTGTTGCATGACCGCGCAATTGTCATTCAAAGTGTGATAGCGCTGAAAATTGGCCTGGACAGGAAGGGGGTGAAAGTGTCCGGACTGGAAGGGGGTGAAAGTGTCCGGACTGGAAGGGGGTGAAAGTGTCCGGACCGGAAGGGGGGTGAAAGTGTCCGGACTGGAAGGGGGGAAAGTGTCCGGACTGGAAGGGGGAGAAAGTGTCCGGACTGGAAGGGGGTGAAAGTGTCCGGACAGGAAGGGGGTGAGAGTGTCCGGACTTGAAGTGGTTAAATCAGGCAGTGAGGAGGCAAAATATTATTTCCTCATCACCTGTCAAACACTCTCGGATAGCTTTTCAGAGGAGAAGCACCCTTAGGGCTTTTTCACACGTGAGGTTGGGGGGTGGTAATACCCTGGTTTTCCAACCCCAATCCCTACCCCCTTTAGCTGCAGAGGCAGCAGCCAAAGGTGTACACATGCTGCAGCAGGAATGATACCCCTTGTCACTTTTGGTGAGCACTACTGCCCGCCATTCGCAACCCATCACAAGTAAATGGGGTCACTCTGCAAGCACCCTGCAGCTACGCGCTTCTGTGGGCTCCAAGGGGCAAATGCAGGTAGTGAGGAGGCGATACAATGCCTCCTCACTGCCTGCTTTAACCCCTAGGTGTCTGTACTGAACAAGGCGGCAGGGATCTTGGCCGGCACCCGTTGATCGCTGAGGAGACTGACAGAACACAGCTCTGCCTATGTAAACAAGTGACGCTGGTTGAGAAGGTGGTACACATCTAGGGCGATCAAAGCGTTAACTGTGTGTCTAGCTAGTGATTTCGTGTACTGTGTTAGGTGTTCTTCAGCGGCGATCTGCTAGATTTTCTTTCCCTGCAAAGCGGGCAATAAAATCTAGCAGATTGCCTAGTAAAAACACCTAACACAGTACACAAAATCACTGGTTAGGCACACAGTTAACCTTTTGATCGCCGTAGATGTGTACCACCTTCTCAACCAGTGTCATTAATACAGTGACAGTGTATATTATTAGCACTTATCACTGTATTAGTGTCACTGGTTCCCACAAAGTGTCAGTTAGCGTCAGATTGTCCGCCGCAATATCGCAGTCACACTATAAGTCGCTGATCGCCGCCATTACTGGTATTGAAAAAAGACTCCAGCATATATACCATCATTTGTAGACGCTATAACTGTTGTGCAAACCAATATAGGCTTACTGGAATTTTTTTTACCAAAAATATGTAGCAGAATACATTTTGGCCTAAATGTATCAAGAAATTTGATTTTTAAAATTTTTTTTATTGGATATGTTTTATAGCAGAAAGTAAAAAATAATGTTTTTTTTTTTTTTTTTTTAAATTGGTCTTTTTTCGTTTATAGAGCAAAAAATAAACACAGAGATGATCAAATACCACCAAAAGAAAGCTCTATTTGTGGGGAAAAAAGATTATATAAGTTTTATTTGGGTGGCGTTGCATGACCGCGCAGTTGTCAGTTAAAGTAATGCAGCGCCGTATCGCAAAAAAATGGCCCGGTCAGAAAGGGGGGATGAATCTTCCGGGGGGCGAGGGGTTAATGATGTCACAGAGCAGAGAGATTCTTCATCTGTTCCCAACCTTTCTTTGTGTCTCCTGCAGAGTGCATTTGATGAGCTGGAGGGTGAGGAGATGCGGAGGGCCAGGACTCGCTCCAATCCGTATGAGATGATCCGAGGGGTCTTCTTCCTTAACAGGTGAGAACCGCTCTTTCATGTCATATTAAAGCAAACCTGTCCTTTGTGTTGGACACAACAGGTTCTTTTCCAGGTATGGAGGAGCATGTGACTTTCAGGATATTGGCCTAGTACTGTCAAGTATGTACTCAGCCCTACGTAAGCTCTAACCAGTGTAATTGTGAGCCCACACAGGCTATCCTAGTCAACCTAGGACAGAAAGTGTGTTACTGGCAGGATCGCCACGTGGAAATAATAGGGAAAAAAGTCTTAAAAAAAAATACCATTAAAGTGTTACTAAACTCAGGACCCTGCATTCACTATATCTGCTCTCATTCACTATATCCGGACCCTGCATTCACTATATCTGCTCTCCCCGGACCCTGCATTCACTATATCCGCTCTCCCCGGAACCCGCATTCACTCTATCCGTTCTCCCCGGACCCTGCATTCACTATATCTGGTCTCCCCGGACCAGACCCTTGATTCACTATATCTGGTCTCCCCGGACCCCGCATTTCACTATATCTGGTCTCCCTGGACCCCATTCATTCACTATATCCGGTCTGGTCATCACCTGGACCCTGCATTCACTATATCTGGTCTCCCTGGACCCTGCATTCACTATATCTGGTCTCCCCTGGACCCCGCATTCACTATATCCGTTCTCCCTGGACCCTCTCCCTGGACCCTGCATTCACTATATCTGCTCTCCCCGGACCCTGCATTCACTATATCTGCTCTCCCCGGACCCTGCATTCACTATATCTAGTCTCCCCCGGACCCTGCATTCACTATATCCGGTCTCCCACAGTACACACAACATGGAAATGCAATTATTTTAGGAAATATAAACTGCCGAGTCCAGTCAAGCACTGGTTAAAGATTGTAGGAGGAGTTTTCTTTCTGCTCTAGGAGGATGTAGAACCCTTGCCCTCTGTCTGGACAGTGCTGATTGGCCCTGTGCTGATCACACGCACTCTCCCAAGGAAAAAAACCTCTCTAGCAATACACACCCAACTGAGCATGTGCAGAGTGTCTCCACACGATATGTCTTATCAGGGGGTTAGAGGGGAACACTGGAAGAAGGGGAGGATCAGAGAAGACAGGATCAAACAGGCTTTTTACACAATGCGGAGGATTAACCCCTTAGGTTCCACAGTGAGTATAACAAGCATGCTTTACTGCATCTACAGACTGATTGTGGCCTGGTCAGGAACAGGGGGGTAAATCCTCTGGAGGGCGAGGGGTTAATGTAACCCTTGTGTGGATGTTTACAAGCGGTGTCACACTTCGTTTTATCCTATACTTTGGTGAGCGATACATTTTATAGGAAGTCTTTCACTTTCGGTATCAATTAATACTTGTGAGCTACTAAGTGGTATTTGAATAAATAAATAATTATTATTATTTAAATTAATAACACCTAATATAGCGATGCATCAGCACTAATACACATACCCATAAAACTGTGCCAAACTGATTAATAATAAATGAAATATGTGTCGCGCTCCACCTACTAATACGAACTTTTAAATTAAAATTAAATTATATAACACCATATGATAATATGTAAAAGTAATACAACACAGGCTATCCCCGCTTCAGTCTATCCTGAATACTGCAGCCAGACTCTTCCACCTCACCAACCGCTCCGTATCCGCCTCCCCCCTCTGCTGATCCCTCCACTGGCTTCCGATTGCCCAACGCATAAAATTCAAAATACTAACATTGACGTACAAAGCCATTCATAACGCTGCCCCAAACTACATCACCGAATTGATGTCCATCTATCACCCAAAACGCACTCTCCGCTCCTCACAAGACCTCCTACTCTCCAGCTCCCTGGTCTCCTCCTCCCTTACCCGCCTCCAGGACTTCTCCAGGGCTTCCCCCATCCTCTGGAACTCACTACCCCAATCCATCAGACTGTCACCTTCCCTCCTCACCTTTAGGCGCACCCTGAAAACCCACCTCTTCAGGGAAGACTACCCCACCCTCACCAACTGCTGATCTCTTCCGCTTTCCCCACCACTCCATCCCCCACAGCTATTTCCTCCTGTACCACTCTCCCCTCCCTCCTAGATTGTAAGCTCCAAGGAGCAGGGCCCTCGAACCCCTCGTGTATTTTATTGTATTGTTACTGTATTGTCTCCCATTGTAATGTACAGCGCTGAGCAAACTGTTGGCGCTATATAAATACTGTGTAATAATAATAATAATAATGTGCCTCCTATACCAATCTACAAACATGCTAAAATCTCAAAAATCTAATAAATAATATTAATAAACCACTATATAAATGTGATGTGACATACTGTCACCCTAGCATTGCAGTGACACCATAGTGACACTGTACTACTTGTGGGGGGTGATGAAGATTGTGTTTTTTTTTTTATACTGATTGCTTTTACACCCATAAAGGCTGTAAAAGCAATCATTTCTCCTCTCTGGCTGCATTCTTGCAGCTATTGAGAAATACTGTGTGAGCTGTGATTGGTCACAGCTTGTCACCTGTTGTGAATAGCCCTGTACCATGTGACCTCTGTGATCATCACAGATTTCACACGTAGTAAGCAATGATGTCAGAAGTGACATCTTGCTTACACCTATTCATGTGATCACTGATTGGCCAATCAGTGATCACATGGTCGGGACCTCGCACAGAGGTCTCATACAGGGATCGGTGTTCCTCTGTGTCCGGAGGACACAGCGGGCACCGGATCGCGGTGCCGCGCACACTCCCAGGGAGCGCGCACAATCCAAAATGGCGGGCGTTGTTTATAAACGGCAACCTGCCCCTGCACTGCCACCGTCTGACCGTTTATATACAGCGGCCAGACGGCAAGTGGTTAAGCTTTTTTTTTTTTTTTTTTTTTTTTTTTTTAATTTTGTCAATTGCTTCCTGGTTTTTGGCCTAGGCAAAAATTATGTCATACATCCCAGGAGTCTTCATGGGAGGAGGAGCTTTCTCAGCTAAACACACCCTCCAGCCTGCATGCTTGAGCTAAGGGCAGATGGATTCCAGGAAGTAAATGCTGCATGAATCATCTGCCCTTAAGATGTCCGTGCCTAGAAATGCTGGGGGGGGGTGTTTGTCAAAGTGATTTCTCACCAAAATAAAGCATGGAGACATGGATGGATGGGGGTAGGAAGGGGGGGGGTGAGTTTGCTTTAAACGTTAACCTCTTCACGCCGGCGCCTCCCAGTCCTTTAAGGGGTTTCTAAGGCCGGGAGGCAGGGCGGGGTTTAGGGTCATGTGACCGCCGTGATTGGCTGTCATGGCAGTCACTTGGTCGGAAAGGTCCCGATCGCAAGGAGAGATCGGGACCTTTCTGTGGGATGCCGACACATGTGCTGGGAGAGCTCAGGGTGCGTGCTCTCAGCACATGTTTGTTTACAAATGGTACACAAATATGCTGCCGCTCGGCGTCAAGGCCCAGTCACCAGTAGGTCGCATGTTTGTGTTCTGTCGGTGTGAAGAGGTTAACAATGAATTAAATATTCTTATTGTATTTGTTTTGTATATTAAAAACTGTAATAAAATATTTTTTTTTGTTAAAAGTAAATGAATTAAATAGTGTGTTCAGTTTGTGTTCTACAGATACAGGAGAGTTTAACCCCTCGCCTACCGGGCACTCTTACCCCCTTCCTGCCCAGGCCAATTTTCAGCTTTCAGCGCTGTTGCACTTTGAATGACAATTGTGCGGTCATGCAACACTGTACCCAAATTAAATTTTCATTAATGTTTGAGACAAATAGAGCTTTCTTTTGGTGGTACTTAATCACCGCTGGGGTTTTTATTTTTTGCTAAACAGAAAAAAAAATACCAAAAATGTTGAAATAAAAAAGTTTTTATTAGTTTCTGTTATAAAGTTTTGTAAATACAGGCGTACCTCGGTTCACGAACTCCTCGGTTAACGTAAGTTTCGGTTTACGATTTTTTTCCGCAATACGAACGGATTAATTGGTTTTCAATGCATTTACAAATTTTTTTTTTCATCATGTCCCTGTACAGTATTTATGCCTTTAAAGTGCACTTTATAAAGAGTTTAAAATACTTTTTTTTTTTTACTTTGTTTTCACCACCGGAACGGATTAATTGGTTTTCAGTGCATTCCTATGGGAAACCGTGTTTTGGTTTCTGAATTTTTCGCAATACGAAAAGTCCAGCAGAACTAATTAAATTCGTAAACCGAGGTACGCCTGTAAGTGATTTTTCTCCTTCACTGGTGTGCGCTGATTAGTGTGCACTGATGAGTCTGTACTGATGGGCACTGATAAGTCTGCACTGATGGGCGCTGATGAGTCTGTACTGATGGGCACTGATGAGTCTGCACTGATGGGCACTGATAGGTTGCACTGATATGTGGCACTAATAGACACTTGATAGGCGGCACTTGTGGGCACTGGTAGTGAGCACTGAGGAGACACTAATAGCCAGCACTGATGGAAACTAATAGCCAGCACTGAGGAGACACTGTTATCCAGCACTGATGGACACTGATAGCCAGCACTGAGGAGACATTGTTAGCCAGAACTGAGGGGACACTAATAGCCAGCACTGAGGAGACACTGATAGCCAGCACTGATGGACACTGATAGCCAGCACTGATGGACTCTGATAGCCAGCACTGATGGAAACTAATAGCCAGCACTGAGGAGACACTGTTAGCCAGCACTGAGGAGACACTGTTATCCAGCACTGATGGACACTGATAGCCAGCACTGATGGACACTGATAGCCAGCACTGAGTAGACACTGATAGCCAGAACTGAGGGACACTGATAGCCAGCACTGAGGAGACACTGATAGCCAGCACTGAGGAGAGGAGACACTGATAGCCAGCACTGAGGGACACTGATAGCCAGCACTGATGGAGGGACACTGATAGCCAGCACTGAGGAGACACTGATAGCCAGCACTGAGGAGACACTTGATAGCCAGCACTGAGGAGACACTGATAGCCAGCACTGAGGAGACACTGATAGCCAGCACTGAGGGACACTGATTGCCAGCACTGAGGGACACTAATAGCCAGCACTGAGGAGACACTGATAGCCAGCACTGATGGACACTGATAGCCAGCACTGATGGACACTGATAGTCATCACTGACACTGATAGCCAGCACTGATGATAGCCACATGGACTGATCTGATAGCCAGCACTGATAGCCAGCACTGGGGACTGTTAGCTGCACTGATGGGGCTACACTGATTATCAGGGCACTGATGATCAGTGGTTTGATGATCAGTGTAGATGTCCCCTCGGAGAAATGCTGCTTACCCCCGGCTCTCCTCACATGCTGTCAGCGCGAGGAAAGGACTGCAGATAAGCGGCATTTCCTATTTACACTGTGATCAGCTGTGATTGGACACAGCTGATCACATGGTAGAGGGCTGCTCTGATCAGCCCTTTACCTGGATCCCTGATCAGCTGTGTCCAGAGGACACAGCGATCACAGATCACGCCCACGCGTGCCCCAGGGGTGTGCGGGAGACATGGTTTCTGGAAGGCCGTCCATGGATACCGACCACCCTGTAGCTGTCTTTTGGCTATAGCGCGTGGTCAGGTTAATCCATAGAGGGAGGCAGAGCAGCGTCGGCCTACATAGGTAGAGGCTGTGAACAGTGTTATCACCCCTCTGATGTGTCCTTAGGCTAGGTTCACATCTGCATGGATGATTGTCACTGCGGGACCGCACTTTTTCCCACAGCCACAACCACCCGCACAGAAATACGCAGGAGACGTGTGTGTGCAAACCTGCAGGAGATTAATCCCAATGGCACACAGCATACGCTGCAAATCACCCTGCACTGGGGGCCGCACTATATTTGTTTCCGTGCCGGCTGTGATTCCAAAATTGAAGCATGGACCTTTTCCATGCATTTCAGGAGACACGGCAGCCCATTGAAATAAATAAATGAGCCGTCATGCCCATGCAAAACACGGATCACAGAATCGCATCAGTGGGAACCAGAGCAGGAACCGTGGGACCACAAAAGGATCTGCATCAGTTTTTTTTTTTTTTTTTTTTCAGGTTAAACTGTTCTATATATATGGGGTTCAGCTATACATGTAGTTGTTGGGATTGTCCTTTATGTTTTCCTGATATGAGAAATAGTTTTCAATCCAACCAGTTGTTCTATAAATATTCCACCAGCCACTACCGTGTGTGACATGTCTGCCTCTCCTTTCCAGGGCAGCTATGAAGATGGCAAATATCGACCACGTGTTTGATTACATGTTCACCAATCCTAAGGATTCTCAGGGGGTGAGAACTTTTATCAGCATTTCTCTGTTTGTTGAGCATTGAGGAGCTAAAGTGTCATGGCTGCCTGTATTTGTCATGTGATCGCTGCCAAAAAGGTATTGCTGTTGATGCTCAGCTGCTTCTTTGGCTAACTTGGCCTGGATGTCGCCCTTCATCAGAGATTTACTACAACTGGAGCACTCGGAATCTGGTGCAGCTGTGCATGGCAACCAATCAGATTCTAACTTGTAGCTGCTGCAGCTGTGCATGGCAACCAATCAGCTTCTAACTTGTAGCTGCTGCAGCTGTGCATGGCAACCAATCAGCTTCTAACTTGTAGCTGGTGCAGCTGCGCGTGGCAGCCAATCAGCTTCTAACTTGTAGCTGGTGCAGCTGTGCATGGCAGCCAATCAGCTTCTAACTTGTAGCTGGTGCAGCTGTGCATGGCAGCCAATCAGCTTCTAACTTGTAGCTGGTGCAGCTGTGCATGGCAACCAATCAGGTTCTAACTTGTAGCTGGTGCAGCTGTGCATGGCAACCAATCAGCTTCTAACTTGTAGCTGGTGCAGCTGTGCATGGCAATTAATCAGGTTCTAACTTGTAGCTGGTGCAGCTGTGCATGGCAACCAATCAGCTTCTAACTTGTAGCTGGTGCAGCTGTGCATGGCAACCAATCAGCTTCTAACTTGTAGCTGGTGCAGCTGTGCATGGCAACCAATCAGCTTCTAACTTGTAGCTGGTGCAGCTGTGCATGGCAACCAATCAGCTTCTAACTTGTAGCTGGTGCAGCTGTGCATGGGAACCAATCAGGTTCTAGCTTCAGCTTGTTCAAATCAGCTTTGCCAATAAAACCTGGAAGCTGATTGGTTTCTATGCAGAGCTGCGCCAGATCCTTTTATCAGCATTTCTCTGTTGAGCATTGAGGAGCTAAAGTGTCATGGCTGCCGTTTGGCTGTATTTGTCATGTGATCGCTGCCAAAAAGGTATTGCTGTTGATGCTCAGCTGCTTCTTTGGCTACCTTGGCCCGGATGTCGCCCTTCATCAGAGATTTACTACAGCTGGAGCGCTCGGAATCTGGTGCAGCTGTGCATGGCAACCAATCATAACTTGTAGCTGGTGCAGCTGTGCATGGCAACCAATCAGCTTCTAACTTGTAGCTGGTGCAGCTGTGCATGGCAACCAATCAGCTTCTAACTTGTAGCTGGTGCAGCTGTTCATGGCAGCCAATCAGCTTCTAACTTGTACCTGGTGCAGCTTTGCATGGCAGCCAATCGGCTTCTAACTTCAGCTTGTCCAGCTCAGCTTTGCCAATAAAACCTGGAAGCTGATTGGTTTCTATGCAGAGACTGCGCTGGATCCTGTGTGCACCAGTTATAGTAAATCTCTCTCTGCCTGAAGGGATTCTAGAACAGCGGTGTGTCTTATTTATTGATTTATTTATTTATTTCAGGTGTTTATACAGCGCCATCAATTTTACGCAGCGCTTTACATATATATTTTACATTCACATCAGTCCCCGCCCCCGAGGAGCGTACAATCTAAGGTCCCTAACTCACATTCATACATACACATACTAGGGACAATTTAGACAGAAGCCAATTAACCTCCCAGCATGTCTTTGGAGGGTGGGAGGAACCCGCTCCCACTTCCGCTGCGACCGCCTAGGCGATTGGAAGCGGAATGTGTCCTCCCTCCCCATAGTCTTCTGGGACATGTGACAGGTCCCAGAAGACTATGGGCCATTCACAAAGTGCAGCGCTTCTCGTGCATGCGCAGTGGGCACCCAGCTGTGAAGCCGCAAGCTGTCACAGCCGGGTGCCCACACTAAAGATGCCGGTGCCAGGGAGAGAAGACGGTTGGTGAAACCAGCCGTGGTGAGGACACCGCTGGACTGAGGGACAGGTAAGTGGCTGTATTTTAAAAGTCAGCAGCTACAGTTTTTGTAGCTGCTGACTTTTATTTATTTATTTTTTTTTTTCAGGAGGAACTCCGCTTTACCCGCGTCCCGTCAGAGGTACGTATATATGCTGCCTCTCGGCGGGTGGGCTTCCAACACAGATAGGCCGCAGATATGTAAACCCTTTTCTGTGCTCAAAAGCACGCCCCCCTGCACAGTTGCCGGCGGGGACCGGAAAGCACCTGATGCATACTTGAGATCGGGAGCTTTACAATCATGTGGCAGCACAGCGGCTAAATGGTTAGCACTTCCGCCTGGCTGTACTCGGGTCATTGGTTCGAATCCCAACCACAGCATCACCTGCTTGGAGTTTACATGTTCTCCCTGTGCCTGCGTTGGTTTCCTCCCACACTCCAAAGACATGCTGGTAGGTGAATTGGCTCCTGTCTAAATTGTCCCTAGTATGTGTATGTATGAATGTGAGTTAGGGACGTTAGATTGTACACCCCTTGAGGGTTAGGGACTGATGTGAATGTACAATATATATTTAAAGATCTGTGTAAATTGACGGCGATATATAAGTACCTGAAATGAAATAAAATAAATAAATGTGACTATCAGTCACATGATCGGAATGCCCGCCTCAGTCTCCTGGAACTTAAAACCTCTTAAAGGGCCAAGAAGGGGTTAATAATCCTCATTCTGCCCGGGTGATGTAGACGTTTATTAGCCGTTCTGACAGTTTCATGTCTCTTCTGTTCTCCAGAAGTCGCTGGTTAGAGATAAGGAATCGGAGTTGTTGTACTTCGCAGACGTTTGCGCTGGGCCAGGCGGCTTCTCCGAATACGTGTTGTGGAGGAAGAAATGGCACGCCAAAGGGTTCGGCATGACCCTGAAAGGACCGAACGACTTCAAACTAGAAGACTTTTACGCCGCACCCAGCGAACTGTTTGAACCGTATTATGGTAAGTACTCCCCCTGCTGTGCAGAAACACTCCATTTTTTTTTATTATGGTTCAAATCTCCAGAATTTCATCTCCCCCTCCCCCCCCCCCCCCCCCCCGCTCCCCCATTCCTCTTGTCTGAATCTTCTGGATTGTTTAACTCTTTGGCGCAGACAGTTCGCAAATATGAAGCTTCGGTGGCTGGGCTGTGATGTCGAGAGGCCGCGTATTTTCACACCCTATGTAAACAAACGTGCCGAGGGTGCGCGCCTGTTATGATCCGCCAGGTGGTGCCTCTGGCTGCCCACTTGACAGACCTACCCAAAGCGTGGAGTCTAAGTCCCGGTCTGTGCTTTCACACCAGGGCCCCTGATGGTGGGGATGGACTTGTAACAGACCAGGACCAGGTCACGACCTCTGAGCAGGCCCACCAGTGGCAGAGGGAACCTCCGGGATGTATAGGTACCGGGAGAGCCAGATGTGAGGAGGCCGGCAGGACCTAGCAGGATGGATCACGAGCAGTGGTCCCGTGGGGTAAGCGAGGTACAGAATCGGCAGGTGGAGAGTAGTCAGGTCACACGCAGGGTCAGCAGGATAAGTCAGTCCGCAGAGAGGTCAAACAAGCCGGGGGTCAGGAGAGGAGAAGGCAGCGTAGTCAGGGCAATCCGGGTCAAACACAGGAGAAGGCAGTGTAGTCAGGGCAATCCGGGTCAAACACAGGAGAAGGCAGCGTAGTCAGGGCAATCCGGGTCAAACACAGGAGAAGGCAGCGTAGTCAGGGCAATCAGGGTCAGTATCATCACAGGTACAGGAACTCAGGAACACAGATAGACCTTGCGGCAATCTGTGACAGTGCAGGGCATCTTTAAATATCGCGCCCTGCACTGTCATTGGCCGCCCAGGACGCGCCCCCGGGCTGTGATTGGCCGCCCGAGGCGCGCCCGTGGCTCCTACTGCGCATGCGCGGCGTCCTGTCAGCCGCGGCCCGCCGGGACCTGGTGCTTGTGTCCCGGCGTGAGCCGCTGCTAGTGCGCGTGCGCCGGGGGAGGCGCCGCGGCGGTCCCTGACAGCGCCCTGCATGCTCCTGGCATGTTTGCCGGAACTTCACGGAAAGATCCTGATCGGGAGCTTTCCGATCATGTGACAGCCAATCATGGCGGTCCCATGACCCTAAACTCCGCCCTACCTCTTGGCGTCACAGACCCCTTAAAGGGCCAGGAGGCGCTGGCACCAAGGCGTTAACTGGGCGCCTCTGTTTTTCTCTATTTTAAAGTCGCTCCTGGTCATGTTTCCTCCTTGTTATATTATACTGAAGGAGAAGTGTGACTTGTTTATGTCTTGCTTCATCCTGTGACCTCCACAGCACCTAGCCGCCTACAGCCATTAACCATTTCCCTTCCAGCCCATGTACATAAACGGCCGGACGGGAGCAATGCAGCGGCGGGTTGCCGTTCATAACCGGCACCCGCATTTATAGCCTGTGCGCGATCCCTGGGAGCACACGGCACCGCGACCAGGTGCCTGCTGTGTCCGGAGGGGGAAGGGAAAATGTCACCAGCACACTGAGGGTCACCAATATGGGTCCAAATGTTTTAATGAACGATCGCATAGCAAGGCAATGTTCCGGAGTCTTGCAGGGCCCCTTCATTAGGCATGCCTGATGAAAGGGTCCTGCATGACTCCAAAACGTTGCCTGGTCATAGGCCTGATGAAGGGGTCCTGCATGACTCCAAAACGTTGCCTGGTCACATGCCTGATGAAGGAGTCCTGCATGACTCCAAAACGTTGCCTGGTCACATGCCTGATGAAGGGGTCCTGCATGACTCCAAAACGTTGCCTGGTCACATGCCTGATGAAGGGGTCCTGCATGACTCCAAAACGTTGCCTGGTCACATTCCTGATGAAGGGGTCCTGCATGACTCCAAAACGTTGCCTGGTCACATGCCTGATGAAGGTGTCCTGCATGACTCCAAAACGTTGCCTGGTCACATGCCTGTTGAAGGAGTCCTGCATGACTCCAAAACGTTGCCTAGTCACATGCCTGATGAAGGGGTCCTGCATGACTCCAAAACGTTGCCTGGTCACATGCTTAATGAAGGAGTCCTGCATGACTCCAAAACATTGCCTGGTCACATGGCTGATGAAGGGGTCCTGCAAGACTCCAAAACGTTGCCTGGTCACATGCCTGATGAAGGGGTCCTGCAAGACTCCAAAACGTTGCCTGGTCACATACCTGATGAAGGGGTCCTGCGAAACTCCGAAACGTTGCCTGGTCATATGCCTGATGAAGGGGTCCTGCAAGACTCCAAAACGTTGCCTGGTCACATGCCTGATGAAGGGGTCCTGCAAGACTCCAAAACGTTGCCTGGTCACATACCTGATGAAGGGGTCCTGCAAAACTCCGAAACGTTGCCTGGTCATATGCCTGATGAAGGGGTCCTGCGAGACTCCGAAACGTTGCCTGGTCACATACCTGATGAAGGGGTCCTGCGAAACTCCGAAACGTTGCCTGGTCATATGCCTGATGAAGGGGTCCTGCGAGACTCCGAAACGTTGCCTGGTCATATGCCTGATGAAGGGGTCCTGCGAAACTCCGAAACGTTGCCTGGTCATATGCCTGATGAAGGGGTCCTGCAAGACTCCAAAACGTTGCCTGGTCACATACCTGATGAAGGGGTCCTGCGAAACTCCGAAACAATGCCTGGTCATATGCCTGATGAAGGGGTCCTGCGAGACTCCGAAACGTTGCCTGGTCATATGCCTGATGAAGGGGTCCTGCGAGACTCCGAAACGTTGCCTGGTCATATGCCTGATGAAGGGGTCCTGCGAAACTCTGAAACGTTGCCTGGTCATATGCCTGATGAAGGGGTCCTGCAAGACTCCAAAACGTTGCCTGGTCACATACCTGATGAAGGGGTCCTGCGAAACTCCGAAACAATGCCTGGTCATATGCCTGATGAAGGGGTCCTGCGAGACTCCGAAACGTTGCCTGGTCACATACCTGATGAAGGGGTCCTGCAAAACTCCGAAACGTTGCCTGGTCATATGCCTGATGAAGGGGTCCTGCGAGACTCCGAAACGTTGCCTTGCTGTAACTATGTGATCGTTCATTAAAACCTTTGGACCCGTATTGGTGATCCTCGGTGTGCTGGTGACATTTTCTCTCGCTGATTCTGTTCGGTTCCAGCCGACGGTCGCTGCAGCACCAACTTATACACACACAGCCGTTTTTAACGCAGGAACGTGTGCGTTTGGATTGTACACGTGCATGCTGTGTCCAGAGGACACAGCGGAACAGCGATCGTTGGATGGGACCTCTGTGTGAGGTCCCGATCATGTGATCACTGATTTGCCAATCACATGAATAGTACTAAGCAAGATGTCACTTCTGACATCATTGCTTACTACCTGTGAAATATCACAGAGATCACATGGTACAGGGCCATTCACAACAGCCTTGTACCATGTGACAAGCTGTACCAATCACATCTCTCACAGTATTTCTCAATGGCTGCAAGAATGCAGCCAGAGAAAAGGAGAAATGATTGCTTTTGCAGCCTTTTTGGCACCATCGGATTACAGAACGAAGGACATTTTCGATTGAAAAATCGTTCGGAATTCGCCCCATGTATGGCCGGCTTTAGGCATCCAGTTGACCACTTGAGCTCTGGAAGGTTTTACCCCCGTCATGACCAGGCCATTTTTTTGCGGTTTAGCACTACACTACTTTTACTGGTAATTGCGCGGTCATGCACTGCCATACCCAAATGAAATTTATATCATTTGTTTCACACAAATAGAGCATTTTTTTGGGTGGTATTTGATCACCGCTGTGCTTTTCATTTGTTGTTATTTAAATGAAATAAGATTGAAAAATAAAAAAAAAAAAAAAAAAAAACAATATTTTTTACTTTCTGTTATAATACATATCTAATAAAAAATAGAAAAAAAATCTAATTTCATAAATTTAGACTAAAATGCATTCTGCTACATGTCTTTTGGTAAAATAAAAAAAATCACAATAAGTGTGTGTTGAATCTTTTCTGTGAAAATTATAGTGTGTAGAAACCGTGGTATATATACTGGAATGTTTATTTAACCCCCCCGCCTACAGGGCACTTCTAACCCCTCCCTGCCTACCGGGCACTTCTAACCCCTCCCTGCCTACAGGGCACTTCTACCCCCTTCCTGCCTACAGGGCACTTCTACCCCCTTCCTGCCTACAGGACACTTCTACCCCCTTCCTGCCTACAGGGCACTTCTACCCCCTTCCTGCCTACAGGACACTTCTACCCCCTTCCTGCCTACAGGGGGCACTTCTACCCCCTTCCTGCCTACAGGACACTTCTACCCCCCCCCCTTCCTGCCTACCGGGCACTTCTACCCCCTTCCTGCCCAGGCCAATTTCCAGCTTTCAGCGCTGTCACACTTTGAATGACAATTGCGCGGTCATGCAACACTGTACCCTTATGAAATTTTTATCATTTTTTTGTGACAGATAGAGCTTTATTTTGGTGGTATTTAATCACCTCGGGGTTTTTATTTTTTCTTAAGCCAAAAACCACTGAAAATTTTGAAAAAAAAAGTTTTTTCTTAGTTTTTGTTATAAAATTTTGTAAATAAGTGATTTTTCTCCTTCACTGATGTGCACTAATGAGGCTGCAGTGATGGCCACTGATAAGCTGCACTGATGGACACTGATAGGTGGCACTGATGGGCACTGATGTGGAGGCACTGGTAGGTGGCACTGATGGGCGTTGACAGGCATCACTGATGGGCACTGAAAGGCAGCACTCATATATGGCACTGACTAGCACTGATAGGTGGCACTGACTGGCACTGATAGGTGGCACTGACTGGCACTCTTAGGTGGCACTAATAGGCAGCACTGACGGGCACTGATAGGCGGCACTGATGCACACTGATAGGCAGCACTGACTGGCACTGATAGGCGGCACTGATAGGTGGCACTGATTGGCAGCACTGACTGGCATTGATAGGTGGCACTGACTGGCACTGATGGGTGACACTGAAAGGCAGCTCAGATGGGCACTGATATGTGGCATTGATGTGCACTGGTAGGCACTGAATTGTGGCACTGATGGGCACTGACAGCTGGCACTGATGGACACTGACAGGTGGCACTGCTGGGGCTACACAGATCATCAGGGCACACTGATCATCAGTGCTCTGATGATCAGTGTACATGTCCCCTCCGAGGAATGCCGATTACCTCCTCTCCTCTGTCAGCGTGACAGCTCGCAAGGAGAGAAATGCCGATAACCGACATCTCCTTGTTTACATGCGATCAGCTGTGATTGGACACAGCTGATCACATGACCGAGCCGACATCTTCGGCTCTTTCCGTTGATCGGTGATCCGCTGCGTCCGAGGGACACAGCGCACCGCCGATTGCCGCTCTGCGCACTCCCGGAGCCGCGCATGCGTGGTGAGAATGGAAGGAAGTCATATGATGTCCTCCCAGAACGAGAGAACCGCCTTGCACCCGTCATTGTACTATAATGGCGGGCGGGAGGTGGTTAATTTTTTTATACTAGTAATGGTGGTAATCAGCGAGTTATAATGGGACTGTGATAGGGCAGAGGGTAGTCTGACATCATCAGTGACACTAATACAGTGATCAGTACTAATACTATACACTTCCAGGGACAGGACACAGCACAGGTCCCAGGAGACTGCGGGACCAATCACAGCAAGCAGCGCGGCTCGCGCATGCGCAGTGTGCACCGGCTGTGAAGCCGCAAGCTGTCAAAGCTGGGTGCCCACATCTAAGATTCCGGGGACCGAAGACGGTATCCAGCGCCCCCTCAGGTGACAGCATTGCTGGCTCCGGGGACAGGTGAGTGTCTGTTTATTAAAAGTCAGCAGCTAAAGTTTTTGTAGCTGCTGACTTTTTTTTCTTTTTTTCACCTCCATCATGACCAGGCCATTTTCTTTGCTATTCTGCACTGCGCTACTTTAACTGGCAATTGTACGGTCATGCAGCACTGTTCCCAAATGAAATTTATATCATTTTTGTCATACAAATAGAGCTTTCTTTTGGTGGTATTTTACCACCGCTGGGGTTTTTATTTTTTTATTATATAAAGGAAAAAAAAAAAAGACAGAAAATTTAGAAAAAAAAAACAATGTTTTTTAATTTCTGCTATAAAACATATCCCCCCAAAAATGAAAAAAAAAATCAAATTTCTTCATAAATTTATACCAAAATGTATTATTATGCTACATGTCTTTGGTAAACAAACCAAAAAAAATCCCAATAAGTGTCTTCTATTTGGTTTACATGAACGTTACATCGTCTCCCCCCCCCCCCCCCCCCACCTCCCAAAGGTGCCAATCCTTAATGGGGAGCTGGGGACCAATCTTTAAAATGAAACTTCCCCTTTTGGGTGGAACTCTGCTTTAAGTGTGCGCCTAACAAGTGTTAATGTGTGTAATGTGCGCTGCTTTTTAATCAACATCTGTTTGCTCCTTCTCCCTGGTTTGCAGGGAAAAGTAACAGACATATTTTTCCCTCTGTATAGAGCCCTGCGTGTTTGCTACCAGACGTGTAGCAGAATACATTTTGGCCTAAATTTATGAAGAAATTGTATTTTTTTATATATATTTTTTTAATATTTTATAGCAAAAAGGAAAGATGTATAGTCCTTTTTTTTTTTTCATTTATAGCACAAAAAACCCCCCCAAAAAACGCATTTATATATATATATATATTTCAGGTACTTATATAGCAGTGTCAGTTTACGCAGCACTTTACATATATATTGTACATTCTCATCAGTCCCCGCCCCCGAGGAGCATACAATCTAAGGTCCCTAACTCACATTCATACATACACAGACTAGAGACAATTTAGACAGGAGCCAATTCACCTACCAGCATGTCTTTGGAGTGTGGGAGGAAACCAGAGTACCCGGAGGAAACCCACGCAAGCACAGGGAGAACATGCAAACTCCATGCAGGAGGCGCCATGGTCGGGAATCAAACCCATGACCCATTTACCACAAGGCAGACGTGCTAACCACTAAGCCACTGTGCCGCCTGATGATCAAATACCACCAAAAGGAAGCTCTCTATTTGTGGGGGAAAAAAAATATGAATTTCATTTGTGTACAGTGTTGCATGACCACGCAATTGTCAGCTAAATTAGCACAGCGCCGTATAGCAAAAAATTGCCTGGTCATAAAGGGGGGTAAATCTTTCAGGGGGCAAGTGGATATAAAGGAAGCAGTAAATGGCACTTAAAGTGGAGTTCCACCTAAAAGGGAAGTTCCGCTTTAAAGATTGGTTCCCCGCTCCCCATTAAGGATTGGCACCTTTGGGGAACAGGGGGGGAACGGGTACCCGAATTTGACAGGTACCCACTCCCACTTCCGCTACGATCACCTAGGCGATTGGAAGTGGAAGGTGTCCTACCCTCCCTCCCTCCCTGTAGTCTTGTGGGACACCTGGCAGGTCCCAGAAGACGACGGGGCCATTCAGGAAGCGCAGCGCTACTCGCACATGCTCAGTGTGCACCCGGATGTGAAGCCGCAAGCTGTCACAGCCGGGTGCCCACACTGAAGATGGTGGTGCCAGGAATACAGGACGGCCAGTGAAATGGGCTGCAGCGGGATCGTGGGACAGGTGACAGGAGAGTGGCTGTTTTTTAATTGCAGCTACAATTTTTGTAGCTTCTGACTTTTATTTTTTTTACAGAGTGAGTGGAACTGCGCTTTAATTGTCAATTCAACTTTATGACCATTCATGCGGGTTAGAAAAAAAAAAAGTGCATAACACTCCACCGCTTGTATTGTTCAGAATACTTTTTTATTCACCTGTCCTTTTATTTCCATTCACTTTCCTCTGACAGGTGAAGGAGGAGTGGATGGTGATGGAGATATCACCCGCCTAGAGAACATCTCTGCTTTCCGGAACTTTGTCTTAGACAATACAGACCACAAAGGTGTCCACTTCATGATGGCCGATGGGGTAAGTGACTGTCCATGTCTGCATAGAAACCTGGAAAAGTAACAACAACAAAAAAAAAGATAAAGCAGTCCATTGTTTTTTTTTTTTTTATTTTTTTAACCACTTCCAGTCTGGACACTTTCACCCCCTTCCTGTCCAGGCCAATTTTGAGTTTTCAGCGCTATTACTCTTTGACAATTGCGCAGTCATGCAACGCTGTACTCATATACATTTGTTAGCATTTTTTTGAGACAGATAAAACTTTATTTTGGTGGTATTTATTCACCGCTGGGATTTTTATTTTTTTTGCTATATAAATGAAAAAGTCCAAAAATTTTGAAAAAAAGTGTTTTTCTTAAAAAATTTTGCAAATAAATAATATTTCATCATAAATCTTGGCCAAAATGTATTCAGTTATCTTTTTAGTAAAAAAAAAAAAATAACCAAAAATTATAATTTTTCAAACATTTTTTTTACATTTTTATTTTTTTTTTTATATTATTATTTATGGGTTTTTTTTTAACATACTGTCACCCTAGCAGTACACTTGTGGGGGGTTATGAAGATTTTTTTTTTTTTTTTTTTTTTTTTTACACCCATTAAAGCTGTAAAATCATTTCTCCTTCTCTCTGGCTGCATTCTTGCAGCCATTGAGAAATAATGTGAGAGCTGTGATTGGTCACAGCTTGTCACATGGTACAAGGCTGTTGTGAATAGCCCTGTACCATGTGATCTCTGTGATCATTCACAGATTTCACACGTAGTAACCAATGATGTCAGAAGTTACTTACCTTTTTTTTTTTATTTTCAACTTATCGATTCTATCCTCACTGTGCTATCCATGAAGCGCTTTACCCACACTTCCGGTTTTGAGGTGCGGGCAACTCTTGTATATTACGGTCACATGACGGCGCTGGAAGTGTCGCCACATAGAAACGTAGTCTGTAGTGAAAACATGCAGAGGAGAGCGGCTGCATCCCATGTACAGGCCAACGTTGTAGAGCCAATGTAGCTACCCTCATAAATTAAGTCAGCGGAGAAAAGTTTTACCTTTTATAACATATACAATGCATTCATAAAGTGTTCAGACCCCCTCGATGTTGTTATGTTGCAGCCTGATACTACAGGTGTTTAACCTCTTGGCGCCGGGCGAACGCAAATGTGCAGCCTCCCAACGTCCGGGCCTAGACACCGAGCGGCCGCACATTTGTGATCTATTAAAAAAAAACATATGTGCTAAGAGCGCGCGCCCCTGTGCGCTCCTAGCACACACGTTCGGTACTCACGGAAAGGTCCCGATCACCTCTTTCGATTGGGACCTTTCCCGATCATGTGACTGCCTTGACAGCGAATCACGGCGGTCACATGACCCTAAAACCCCGCCTCTCGGCTTCTGGAACCCTTAAAGGGCCAGAAGGCACCAAGGGGGTAAAATTAATTTTTTCTCTCATTATTTCTATACTCCGTACCCCATAATGACAAAGTGAAAACATAATTTATGAAATATTTGTGATTTATTAACCGCTCGCTGACCACCTAAGTTAGAATTACAGAGGCAGTGTGGCTGCTCTGCGCTGGATCACGTATGTAGTATGTGATCTGTGCGCCTGCCGGCCCAGCTGTGCTACGATTCGATCAGCAGGTCCCAGCCAATGACTGACCGCTGGGACCCGCTGATCGGCTCAGTGTTTCACAGAACAGAGCTCTGTGATTGTAAACAATGCAGAGCTCTGTTCACTGACAGGCGATGTTGCTGTTTTTTTATTCCCGGCTAAACGGGAAAAAAGACAACAAGATCCTTAGTAAAAGCAGCACATATTACACATTTTTAGGCACACAATTGATGGCCCCTACATGTTAAACCCTTCCCAGCCATTAACTGACAATTGAGCGGTCATGCAACACTGTACACAAATGAAAATCATATTTTTTTCCCACAAATAAAGCTTTCTTTTGGTGGTATTTGATCATCACTGGGGTTTTTTTTTTTGCACTATAAATGGAAAAAGACTGAAATTAAAAAAAAAAAAAAAAACTGTATTTTTTCCTTTTTGCTATAAAACATAAAAAAAAAATGTCTTCATAAATTTAGGCCAAAATGTATTCTGCTACATTTCTGGTAGCAAACACGCAGGGCTCTGTACAGAGGGAAAAATATGTCTGTTTCTTTTCCCTGCAAACCAGGGAGAAGGAGCAAACATGTTTATTAACCCTTGGCGCCGGTGCCTCACAGGGTTTCAGAAGTCGGGAGGCGGGCGGGGTTTTAGGGTCATGTGACTGCTGTGATTCGCTGTCACGGCTGTCACATGATTGGGAAAGGTCCCGATCACAAGAGGAGATCGGGACTTTTCTGTGAGTGCCGGACATGTGGGCGGGGTTTTTGGGTCATGTGACTGCCGTGATTCGCTGTCACGGCGGTCACATGATCGGGAAAGGTCCCGATCACAAGAGAAGATCGGGACCTTTCTGTGAGTGCCGGACATGTGTGCTGGGAGCGCGCAGGGCGCACGCTCTCAGCACATATGGTTCTTTTAATTGTACGCATATGTGCGGCCGCTCGGCGTCAAGGTCCAGACACACATTTGCGTGTGCTCGGTGTGAAGAGGTTAAAAATCAGCGCACATTACACACATTAACACTCGTTAGGCACACACTTAACCCCTTGATGTTAACCCCTTCCCAGCCAGTGTCATTAGTACAGTGACAGTGTATAGTATCGTGTATTACCTCTGATCACTGTGTTAGTGTCACTATTGATGTCACTGTCCGTTAGTGTCCCCCTCAACCAGTATCAGCTATTGTCAGATTGCCCGCTATAAATCGCCGATCGCCGCCATTACTAGTATAAAAAAAAATATATAAATAAAAATGCTAGTATACCAGAGTTTGTAGACGTTCATGCAAACCAAATAATACATACCTGTTGGGATTTTTTTTTTCTTTACCAAAGACATGTAGCAGAATACATTTTGGCATAAAATTATGAAGAAATTAGATTTTTTTTTAATTTTAGGGGGGGATATGTTTTATAGCAGAAATTAAAAAATATTTTTTTTCTAAATTTTCTCTTTTTTCATTTATATAATAAAAAATAAAAATTCCCAGTGGTGATCAAATACCACTAAAAGAAAGCTCTATTTGTATGACAAAAATTATATAAATTTCATTTGGGTACAGTGTTGCATGACCGCACAATTGCCAGTTAAAGTAGCGCAGTGCAGAATAGCAAAAAAAAAAATGGCCTGGTCACGATGGGGGTAAAAAAAGAAAAAAACGGAGATATCGCATGTATGTAAAGCGGAGCTCAAGTCATTTTTTAAACATTTTAAGTCAGCAGCTACAAAAACTTTAGCTGCTGACTTTTAATAAACAGACACTCACCTGTCCCCGGAGCCAGCAATGCTGTCACCTGAGGGGGCGCTGCTTGCTGTGATTGGTCCCACTGTCTTCTGGGACCTGTGCTGTGTCCCAGAAGACTGCGGGGAAGGAGGAGGGGAAGGAGCAGCCTGGGTGATCTGAGTGGGAACGGGTGTCAGTCCCCACCATCTTAGATGTGGGCACCTGGCTTTGACAGCTTGCGGCTTCACAGCCGGTGCACACTGCGCATGCGCGAGCTGCGCTGCTTGCTGTGATTGGTCCCACTGTCTCCTGGGACCTGTGCTGTGTCCTGTCCCCGGAAGTGTATAGTATTTGTACTGATCACTGTATTGGTGTCACTGATGATGTCAGTCTAGTTAGAGTACCTCCCAGTGTCAGATTACCCTCTGTCCTATCACAGTCCCACTATAAGTCGCTGATTACCGCCATTACTAGTATAAAAAAAAAATTTAATAAAAATTCCAGTATATATATACCGCGGTTTCTACACACTATGACTTTCACACAAACCATTCAACACACACTTGTTGTGATTTTTTTTTTTCTTTTTTTTCTTTTTACCAAAGACATGTAGCAGAATGCATTTTATTCTAAATTTATGAAGAAATTAGATTTTTTTTCCCATTTTTATTAGATATGTTTTATAACAGAAAGTAATAAATATTGTTTTTTGTTATTTTTCAATCTTATTTCATTTATATAATAAAAAAATGAAAAGCACAGTGGTGATCAATTACCACCCAAAAAATGCTCTATTTGTGTAAAACAAATGATATAAATTTAATTTGGGTATGGCACTGCATGACCGCGCAATTACCAGTAAAAGTAGTGTAGTGCTGTGTAGTACTTTTACCGCAAAAAAATGGCCTGGTCATGAAGGGGGTAAAACCTTCCAGAGCTCAAGTGGTCAACTGGATGCCTAAAGCAGGCCATACATGGGGCGAATTTCGAACGAACGAGGGGGGGGGGAGGAGCAGCCTAGGCGATCTGAGCGGAAGTGGGAACGGGTGTCGGTCAAAAATCAGGTACCTTGGATCTTAGATGTGGGCACCCGGCTTTGACTGCTTGCGGCTTCACAGCTGGGTGCACACTGCACATGCGCGAGCCGCGCTGTTTGCTGTGATTGGTCCCGCAGTCTTCTGAGACCTGTGCTGTGTCCCAGAAGACTGCAGGGAGGGAGGGGGGAAGGAGCAGCCTTGGCGATCTGAGTGGAAGTGGGAACGGGCACCGGTCAAATCTGTGACTTGCAATAATCCTGTCTCTGAGTTCCGCAGACAGTTTTTTTTTTACCTCATGGCTCTGATACAGTATGCATTGTCAGCTGTGAGGCCTTTTATAGAGAGGTGTGTGCCTTTCCAAATCATGTCCAATCAGTTTAATTGACCACATGGACTCTAATAAAGGTGAAGAAACATCTCGGCAACAATCAAAAGAAATGGGAGGCACCTGAGCTAAATATGCAAAGGGTCTGAATACTTATGGCAATGTGATATTTCAGTTTGTCCTGTTTCATACGTTTGCAAATATTTCTGAAATTCTGTTTTCACTTTGTCACTCTGGGGTACTGAATGTAGGATAATGAGAACAAAAAATATAATTTAAGCAACTGTAGTATCAGGCTGTAACATAACAACAAAGTAAAGGGGGTCTGAATACTTTCTGAATGAACTGTATTTTTGGCATGTAGAATTAGATGTTGCTACATTAGACATGTATAATACATAAGGGGGGATATGATCTCCATGTATAATACATAAGGGGGGATATGATCTCCATGTATAATACATAAGGGGGATATGATCTCCATGTATAATACATAAGGGGGGATATGATCTCCATGTATAATACATAAGGGGGGATATGATCTCCATGTATAATACATAAGGGGGGATATGATCTCCATGTATAATACATAAAGGGGGGATATGGTCTCCATGTATAATACATAAGGGGGATATGATCTCCATGTATAATACATAACAGGGATATGATCTCCATGTATAATACATAAGGGGGGATATGATCTCCATGTATAATACATAAGGGGGATATGATCTCCATGTATAAATACATAAGGGGGGATATGATCTCCATGTATAATACATAAGGGGGGATATGATCACCATGTATAATACATAAGGGGGGGGATATGATCACCATGTATAATACATAAGGGGGGGATATGATCACCATGTATAATACATAAGGGGGATATGATCTCCATGTATAATACATAAGGGGGGATATGATCACCATGTATAATACATAAGGGGGGGATATGATCACCATGTATAATACATAAGGGGGGGATATGATCACCATGTATAATACATAAGGGGGATATGATCTCCATGTATAATACATAAGGAGGGATATGATCTCCATGTATAATACATAAGGGGGATATGATCTCCATGTATAATACATAAGGGGGATATGATCTCCATGTATAATACATAAGGGGGGGATAGGATCTCCATGTATAATACATAAGGGGGGGATAGAATCTCCTTGTATAATACATAAGGGGGGATATGATCTCCATGTATAATACATAAGAGGGGATATGATCACCATGTATAATACATAAGGGGGGATATGATCTCCATGTATAATACATAAGGGGGGATATGATCTCCATGTATAATACATAAGGGGGGGATATGATCTCCATGTATAATACATAAGTGGGGATATGATCACCATGTATAATACATAAGGGGGGGATAGGATCTCCATGTATAATACATAAGGGGGGGATAGGATCTCCTTGTATAATACATAAGGGGGGATATGATCTCCATGTATAATACATAAGAGGGGATATGATCTCCATGTATAATACATAAGGGGGGGATATGATCACCATGTATAATACATAAGGGGGGGATATGATCTCCATGTATAATACATAAGGGGGGATATGATCTCCATGTATAATACATAAGGGGGGATATGATCTCCATGTATAATACATAAGGGGGGATATGATCTCCATGTATAATACATAAGGGGGAGATATGATCTCCATGTATAATACTTTTCCAGTCACTTTAATGAGAGACTTACTGGTTTACTTTACTGTCTACTGTGTGCGTTTTGTGTGGATGTACTAAAATATTTTCTGCTTATAGGGGTTCTCGGTGGAGGGTCAGGAAAACATTCAGGAAATTCTCAGCAAGCAGCTTCTCCTCTGTCAGTTCCTTGTAGGACTGTCTGTGGTCCGGACCGGTGAGTTCTCTGTGGACGTTTTCCTGTGTTACCTGTCTGAATGAATTCTTCTGTGTAAGAATTTTACTCTTAAAGCGGAGCTCCACCCAAAAGGGGAAGTTCTGCTTTAAGCCTTTGTCCCCCGCTCCCCATTAAGGATTGGCTCCTTTGGAGAGCGGTGGGGGGAGCAGGTACCCGATATTGACAGGTACCCGCTCCCACTTCCGCCGTGATAGCCTGTGCGATCGGAAGCGGAAGTTGTCCTCCCTCCCCGTAGTCTTCTGGGACACGTGACAGGTCCCAGAAGACTACGGGGCCATTCACGTGCGCAGTGGGCACCCGGCTGTGAAGCCGCAAGCTGTCACAGCCGGGTGCCCACACTGAAACTGCCGGCACCGGGGAGAGAAGACGTCCGGTGAAACCAGCCGTGGTGAGGACACCGCTGGACTGAGGGACAGGTAAGTGGCTGTATTTTAAAAGTCAGCAGCTACAGTTTTTGTAGCTGCTGACTTTTATTTATTTATTTTTTTCAGGAGGAACTCCGCATTAATGGTTATTTAAAACCAAAAGTAAAATGTAATTTATTGTAGATCGCCTGTTCCTAGATATGGTGGATCCATTAGCTTTTTTTTTTTTTTTTTAAAGACTTCTGGTTCATTTAACACACTTCTTGTCCTATGGTGACATTGCTCACTCACTGTACTGTATCTGTAGAGGAGCAGCATTGTCACCTTAAAGCGGAGTTCCAGTCACACTGCAACAGGGGCGGACTGACAACTCATGGGGCCCCCGGGCAATAGGAGATCATGGGGCCCCTGGGCAATAGGAGATCATGGGGCCCCTGTGTCCTTGCCCAAACTCAAAAAAACCTCTGAAAAAGTTACCAGGGGCATCTCATGGGGCCCCCTACTGATCCCGGGCCCTCGGGCTGGGCCCGAGTTTCCAAATGATCAGTCCGGCCCTGCACTGCAAATAAATTAAAGTCAGCAGCTGCAAAAACTTGATCCCGCGGCGTCCTCCCCGCAGCCCGTTTTACCGGTGTTCCCGGCGCTGGCATTTTTAGTGTGGGCACCCGGCTGCCACAGCTTGCGGCTTTACAGCCGGCAGCCCACTGCGCATGCGCAAGTAGCGCTGCACTTTCCGCATGGTCCCGTAGTCTTCTGGGGCCTATCAGGTGTCCCAGAAGACTATGTGGAGGGGAAGGGGGGAGGACAAACTACCGCTTACATTCGCCTAGCGGAAGTGGGAGCGGGCATCTGTCAATTTCGGGTACCCGCTCCCCAAAGGTGCCAATCCTTAACCCTAGGTTCACATCTGTGCGGGTGGTGCCGCTGCGGATCTGCACGAAAATCCATGCAGCTGTACCACCCGCACAGGGAATTTTGGCCCTGCGGGCGGGTGCCATTGTTTCTAATGACATGCTGCCCGCCCTGGAAAACGCAACCGTACTGGGAACCTCGGCTGCGTTTTCCAAAGAAGTGCCGGGACTTCTTCCCTGCGTGTCCCGGGCACGGGAGTCCATTCAAATGAATGGGCTCTCGTGCCCATGCAAAACGCGGCCCATACGGCCGCATAGATGTGATCCGGGGGTAATGGGGAGCGGGGCACCAGTCTTTAAAGCAGAACTTCCCCTTTTGGTGGAACTCCGCTTTAAGACAGGAAGGTTGCTACAAGTAAAGAGCACCATCCCCGCTCCAGAGGGGCTCTCTAGTTCAAAAAGGTAAACGGGCCAGAGCTGATAACACTGCAGTGTACCCCGGACAGCACTGGGTTGCTGCAATCAACAATTATTTTTTTTTTTACTTTTCATACAGATGTGAACTAAATACTTTCAGTTGTGTAGGGGAAGCTCAGAAATCAGATTTAACAGACCAAAATGAGGCAAAAAAGGGAAGTTTGTTGTCGGGGTTCAATGAGATTGCCGCAGCATGGTTCCTGTTTCCACTGCTGCAAATAGAATGCCCCTGCACTGATCTGCTTATGTTAGTATGAGTTATTCTCCACATGCTAGGGTAGGGGGGCCTGGGTGCTGCAACCTAGAGTCAGCATTCAGCTACAGTCAGGTCCATAAATATTGGGACATGGACACAATTCTAACATTTTTGTCTCTATACACCACCACAATGGATTTGAAATGAAACGAACAAGATGTGCTTTAACTGCAGACTGTCGGCTTTAATTTGAGGGTATTTGCATCCAAATCAGGTGAACGGTGTAGGAATTACAACAGTTTGCATATGTGCCTCCCGCTGTGTTGTATTCTGACAGGGGGGATACTCCACTCACCTCCCCGCTGTGCTGTATTCTGACAGGGGGGATACTCCACTCACCTCCCCGCCGTGCTGTATTCTGACAGGGGGATACTCCACTCACCTCCCCGCTGTGCTGTATTCTGACAGGGGGGATACTCCACTCACCTCCCCGCTGTGCTGTATTCTGACAGGGGGGATACTCCACTCACCTCCCCGCTGTATTGTATTCTGACAGGGGGGATACTCCACTCACCTCCCCGCTGTGCTGTATTCTGACAATGGGGATACTCCACTCACCTCCCCGCTGTGTTGTATTCTGACAGGGGGGATACTCCACTCACCTCCCCGCTGTGCTGTATTCTGACAATGGGGATACTCCACTCACCTCCCCGCCGTGTTGTATTCTGACAGGGGGGATACTCCACTCACCTCCCCGCTGTGCTGTATTCTGACAGGGGGGATACTCCACTCACCTCCCCGCTGTGTTGTATTCTGACAGGGGGGATACTCCACTCACCTCCCCGCTGTGTTGTATTCTGACAATGGGGATACTCCACTCACCTCCCCGCTGTGTTGTATTCTGACAATGGGGATACTCCACTCACCTCCCCGCTGTGTTGTATTCTGACAATGGGGATACTCCACTCACCTCCCCGCTGTGTTGTATTCTGACAATGGGGATACTTCACTCACCTCCCCGCTGTGCTGTATTCTGACAGGGGGAATACTCCACTCACCTCCCCGCTGTGTTGTATTCTGACAGGGGGGATACTCCACTCACCTCCCCGCTGTGTTGTATTCTGACAGGGGGGATACTCCACTCACCTCCCCGCTGTGTTGTATTCTGACAGGGGGGATACTCCACTCACCTCCCCCCCGTGTTGTATTCTGACAGGGGGATACTCCACTCACCTCCCCGCTGTGTTGTATTCTGACAATGGGGATACTCCACTCACCTCCCCGCTGTGTTGTATTCTGACAATGGGGATACTCCACTCACCTCCCCCCGCTGTGTTGTATTCTGACAGGGGGGATACTCCACTCACCTCCCCGCTGTGTTGTATTCTGACAATGGGGATACTCCACTCACCTCCCCGCCGTGTTGTATTCTGACAGGGGGGATACTCCACTCACCTCCCCGCTGTGCTGTATTCTGACAGGGGGGATACTCCACTCACCTCCCCGTTGTGCTGTATTCTGACAGGGGGGATACTCCACTCACCTCCCCGCTGTGCTGTATTCTGACAGGGGGGATACTCCACTCACCTCCCCGCTGTGTGTTGTATTCTGACAATGGGGATACTCCACTCACCTCCCCCGCTGTGTTGTATTCTGACAATGGGGATACTCCACTCACCTCCCCGCTGTGCTGTATTCTGACAGGGGGGATACTCCACTCACCTCCCCGCTGTGTTGTATTCTGACAATGGGGATACTCCACTCACCTCCCCGCTGTGTTGTATTCTGACAGGGGGGGGTACTCCACTCACCTCCCCCCCCCTGTGTTGTATTCTGACAGGGGGGATACTCTACTCACCTCCCTGCTGTCTTGTATTCTGACAATGGGGGGGATACTCCACTCACCTCCCCGCTGTGCTGTATTCTGACAATGGGGATACTCCACTCACCTCCCCGCTGTGCTGTATTCTGACAGGGGGGATACTCCACCACTCACCTCCCCGCTGTGCTGTATTCTGACAGGGGGGATACTCCACTCACCTCCCCGCTGTGTTGTATTCTGACAATGGGGATACTCCACTCACCTCCCCGCTGTGCTGTATTCTGACAATGGGGATACTCCACTCACCTCCCCCGCTGTGCTGTATTCTGACAGGGGGGATACTCCACTCACCTCCCCGCTGTGCTGTATTCTGACAGGGGGGATACTCCACTCACCTCCCCGCTGTGTTGTATTCTGACAGGGGGGATACTCCACTCTCCTCCCCGCTGTGTTGTATTCTGACAATGGGGATACTCCACTCACCTCCCCGCTGTGTTGTATTCTGACAATGGGGATACTCCACTCACCTCCCTGCTGTGTTGTATTCTGACAATGGGGATACTCCACTCACCTCCCCGCTGTGCTGTATTCTGACAGGGGGGATACTCCACTCACCTCCCCGCTGTGTTGTATTCTGACAATGGGGATACTCCACTCACCTCCCCGCTGTGTTGTATTCTGACAATGGGGATACTCCACTCACCTCCCCGCTGTGTTGTATTCTGACAGGGGGGGATACTCTACTCACCCTCCCTGCTGTCTTGTATTCTGACAATGGGGATACTCCACTCACCTCCCCGCTGTGCTGTATTCTGACAATGGGGATACTCCACTCACCTCCCCGCTGTGCTGTATTCTGACAGGGGGGATACTCCACTCACCTCCCCGCTGTGCTGTATTCTGACAATGGGGATACTCCACTCACCTCCCCGCTGTGTTGTATTCTGACAATGGGGATACTCCACTCACCTCCCCGCTGTGCTGTATTCTGACAATGGGGATACTCCACTCACCTCCCCGCTGTGTTGTATGGACAGGGGGGATACTATTCTGACAGGGGGGATACTCCACTCACCTCCCCGCTGTGTTGTATTCTGACAGGGGGGATACTCCACTCACCTCCCCGCTGTGCTGTATTCTGACAATGGGGATACTCCACTCACCTCCCCGCCGTGTTGTATTCTGACAGGGGGGATACTCCACTCACCTCCCCGCTGTGCTGTATTCTGACAGGGGGGATACTCCACTCACCTCCCCCGCTGTTTTTCATACTCAGATTAGATCGAAATTAAATTTTCCAGCATTCACATTCGTGAGACGTTAATTGATAAAGCAGCTTTCTCATGAACAGGAACATGTATTGAAATTTGGCTAGTTTTTGCTGAACTGGACAAATTTTGATCCATGTATGACCAACTTAAAGTGGGTTTCCACCCCAAAAGTCGAAGCTCCACTTATCTCCCTCCTCCCCTCCCCTGCTACTTTTGGGGGGAAAAGGGGAGAGCGGGTACCTGGTTTAGACAGGTACCTGCTCCCACTTCTGGCTCAGTTCGCCGAGGTGAGTTGAGCCAGAAGTTCGCACCCGCCCCCCAGAGCTTTCTGGAAAACTCAACAGGTCCCAGAGGACTGCAGCCCATTCTTAAACTGTAGCGAGCTTCATGCATGAACAGTAGGAAACAGGCTGTTTTCCCTTAGTCAAGATGGCGGCGCCAGCACCCGACAGCTTTAAGTCCAGACCTTGGAGAAAGGGTCCCTGAAGAACGCAGATTGGCTCTAAGATTCTGTTCTCCAGGTGATTCCATGTAAACTGTTCATTCACCTTCATGACATTGACAGACTGCTCCTTGGGTAGAAGATAGGGGAGCCTGATAATCTTTTAATCTTTAACACACAGGGGTGCGTCTGCCTATGCACCAATGGCCAGTCCATAGGGAGACTCATCCTCAATACACTATTTATACATTTTTTATATATATATATATATATATATATATATATATACATACAATGAAGGAAATAAGTATTTGCTCCTCTGCTGATTTTGAATGTTCGCCCACTCACAAGGAAATGATCGGTCTAAAAATCAAATGTTCGGTGTATTGTAACACTGAGAGACAGAATAGCAACAAAGAATTCAAAAGAAATGCGTCTAACAAATGATGACTGATTTGCATGTTCATGAGGGAAAGAAGGATTTGATCCCCTATCATTCAGCAGGATTTCTGGCTACCAGGTGTCTTTCATACAGGTAACAAGCTGAGATTAGAATCAGTCTCTTAAAGGGAGTGCTGCTAATCTCATTTTGTTACCTGTATAAAAGACACCTGTCCACAGGAGCAATCAAACCATCAGATTCCAAACTCTCCACCATGGCAAAGACCAAAGAGCTGTCCAAGGATGTCAGGGACAAGATTGTAGACCTACACAAGGCTGGACTGGGATACCGCTGACAACTGTTTTCGGTCACCTGGTTGAGAATGCGCGGCCTTCATGATCCTTTCCTTATTGGACAGGAGGGTGGTTTATTTATTTAATTATTTAATTATTACAGGTACTTGTAAAGCGCCATCAATTTATACGTAGCGCTTTACATATATATTGTACATTCACATCAGTCCCTAACCCTCAAGGGGTGTACAATCTAAGGTCCCTAACTCACATTCATACATATACATACTAGGGACAATTTAGACAGGAGACAATTTACGTACCAACATGTCTTTGGAGTGTGGGGGGAAACCGGAGTACACAGGGGGAAACCGGAGTACCTGGAGGAAACCCACGCAGGCACAGGGAGAACATGCAAACTCTAGTCAGGTGGTGCCGTTTTTGGGATTTGAACCAACGACCCGAGTACTGCCAGGCAGGAGTGCTAATTTAGCCATTTAGCCACTGTGCTGCTCTGGTTGCCTGGCAGTGCTGATGCCAGACCTGGCCGGCACTGGCTGATCGATTGGGTCTATCTGTTTTTTAGTGTGTCCAATCACTGACAAGCCACTTACACGCACATACTTGCCTATTCATATGTTACTTGGCTGCCTTTTATATATATATATACATATATGCAACTGGCGTTGATAGCTTTAATCCTTTATTGATTTTTCCTGCATTTTTTTTGTGTTTTTTGGCAGGACTGTGAATCATTATGACGTCAGTGGGTGGGGGTGTCACTTTTTTCCTGGTCTTTGATTGGTGGAGAGCACTTTAAATATTGCTGCACTGTTGTACACATTTATCACATGCCTGGCAAAAGGGGTCCTGGGCGGCTCCAAAACGTTGCACTATGTTTCTGTGATGTGATCACTCTTCAATGAAGGTTTGGACATAATTGGGCGATCCTAGGTGTGCTGGCGAATATGTGCATTTGGTTCATGAGAGCAGGGAATGTATTTACATAGCAGCAGGGCACAGATTTACACGGCAGCAGGGCAGTAGCAGTCTCCTTCTCATGCAGAGCGCCGCAGGGAAGCGGCTGTGGCAGACCAGGTTTTGGCACGCTGTTTCTGGCCGGCCATCCTCTCTTGTCCATCCCGTGTGATATCACATACAAGCGCCTGAGGATGGAGAAGAGGGGGGAGGAGCTGTTGGGGAACAGTGGAGACACCCTTTGCTTTCCTGCACTGCTCTGGGGGGGGGGGGGGGGGGGTGATAGGGGAGTGTTGGTGCGAGCTACGCATCAGCTGCCTTCGATTGATCACAACGGAACCCCTGGGGACCTTCCATGGAACCCCAGTTTAGAAACCCTACTTTAGTTCTACGTTAAAGCCAAAATCTTATCTATTATTTTTTAAAAATGTTCTATTGTCTATACTTACATTGAAGATATTTTGCTTACTTCCTGTCTCATTGACCACATAGGAAATGAAGAAAAATCTTCCAAGTGCTTCTGAGCCAGCGGCCTGCAACATGTCAGAAGTTCCAACTTCCCCACTCTGTCCAAAAGTGAATGTAGAGTTTTGGTTGGAGTTGGATGGAATTAACACTTTGCCAGTTTTCACTGCATGCAATAAATAGTCCGCTTTGTTACCACGAATAAGAGGGAGGCAGTTTTTAGTATGTCTTGTCAAATACGTTTTTTACATTTAACTTTTTTTTTTTTCCAGGGGGACATTTCATCTGTAAGACCTTTGACCTGTTCACCCCCATTCAGCGTGGGCCTGGTTTACTTGCTGTACTGCTGCTTTGAACGGGTCAGCCTCTTCAAGCCAGTGACCAGCCGGCCAGCTAATTCCGAGCGGTGAGTCTGACAGAGCGGATCAGTGGGCAGCCATTGCTGTCTGATAATCACATTTATTATTGAAATCGGAACCCAGAAGTGACGGCGTCTTTTCTGGCTGTTTTATGTTTAGTACCTGTGTATCCTTCTGTCTGCTCTTCTTGCGTTTAAAGGGAAACAACTAACTGGTTCAGTGCATGTTTTTAACCAACTCCCATCCGGCCGTTGTATATAAACGGCCGGTTAGTGGCAGTGCAGGGGCGGGTGGACGTTTATAAACGGCCTCCCCGCCCCCTGCTTGTGCGCGATCCCTGGGAGCTTGCAGCACCGCGATCCGGTGCCCCGCTGTATCCTCCGGACACAGTGGAACACTGATTGTCGTATGGGACCTCTGTGCGAGGTCCCGATCATGTGATCACTGATTGGCCACTCAGTGATCACATGCAGAGTAGTAAGCAAGATGTCACTTCTGACATCATTGCTTACTGCTAGTGAAATCTGTAAATGATCACAGAGGTCACATGGTACAGGGCCAATCAAAACAGCCTTGTACCATGTGACAAGCTGTGACCAATCACAGCTCACACAGTAGTTCTCAATGGCTGCAAGAATGCAATATAAATAAAACTTTTTTGCAAAACAGCAATACAAAAATTGAAAGTAAAGCATTCCTAGGGTTCGGTTATACCGTGTCTTTCTGGGTTTACTTTTTCCTGTGTTTTTATTCTGTTCTGTTCTCATTGTTTACTGTGGTATGTTGTTATATCTTTGTCTGTATGTCTTCCTCTCTGTAGGTATATTGTAGGACGCGGCTTGAAGGCGGGCATAGACGACGTGCGCCAGTACCTGTTTTCAGTAAACCTGCGCCTCAACAGTCTGCGCAACACTGATCAGGATGTCAACCTGGTGGTACCCTTGGAGGTGTTAAGAGGGGACCGGCAGTTTCATGAGTACATGGTCCGCTCTAATGAGAGGTGAGAGAGTTGACCTCCGAAAGGTTTTACCCTTTTTGTGATTAAGGACATTTTATGCTATTCAGCACTGTGCTACTTTACCTGGCAATCGCTATAGTGTCATGCAACACTATACCCAAATGAAATTTATATCATTTTTTTTCACACTAATAGAGCTTCCTTTTGATCGCAATTTGATCACCACTGTTTTTTTTTTGTGTGTAAATGAAAAAAAAAAAAAAAATTTTGAAAATAAAATAAAAAACAATATTTTCTAATTTCTATATATAAAATTCTTACATATCCAATAAAATAATAAAAAAAAACTTTCACCCCCTTCCAGTCTTCATAAATTTAGGCTGAAAGGTATTCTTTCACATATATTTGGTTAAAAAAAAAAAAAACCCCAATAAGTGTATATTAACCACTTCAAGTTTCCCCCCCCTTCCAGGGACACTTTCCCCCCCTTCCAGTCCAGTCACGGACACTTTCCCCCCCCTTCCAGTCCGGACACTTTCCCCCCCTTCCAGTTTCCGGACACTTTTCCTCCCCCCGGACACTTTCCCCCCCCTTCCAGTCCGGACACTTTCCCCCCCTTCCAGTCCGGACACTTTCCCCCCCTTCCAGTCCGGACACTTTCCCCCCCCCTTCCGGACACTTTCCAGTCCGGGACCCTTCCCCCCTCCGGGACACTTTCCCCCCCTTCCAGTCCGGACAGTCCGGACACTTTCCCCCCTTCCAGTCCGGACACTTCCAGGACAGTTTTCAGCTTTCACCCCCTTCCAGTCCGGACACTTTCACCCACCTTCCTCTTTTTCAGCTTTCAGCGCTACACAATTTGAATGACAATTGCGCAGGTCATGCAACACTGTACCCATTGAATTTTTTAGCATTTGAGACAGATAAAGCTTTCTTTTGGTGGTATTTATTCACCGCTGGGATTTTTATTTTTTTTTGCTATATAAATGAAAAAATCCAAAATTTTGAAAAAAAGTGTTTTTCTTATAAAATTTTGCAAATAAATAATCTTTCTTCATAAATCTTGGCCAAAATGTATTCAGTTATCTTATTAGTAAAAAAAAAAGTAACCCAAATTAGTTTATAACCAAAAATTATAATTTTTTTTTACTTTTTTTTTACATTTTTATTTTTTTTTTTTATATTATTTTTTTTTTTTTTTTAACATACTGTCACCCTAGCAGTACAGTGTCACCCTAGTGACACTGTACTACTTGTGGGGGGTGATGAAGATTTTTTTTTTTTTTTTGCACTGATTGCTTTTACACCCATAAAGGCTATAAAAGCAATCATTTCTCCCTCTCTCTGGCTGCATTCTTGCAGCCATTGAAAACTACTGAGTGAGCTGTGATTGGTCACAGCTTGTCACATGGTACAAGGCTGTAGTGAATAGCCCTGTACCATGTGATCTCTGTGATCATTCACAGATTTCACACGTAGTAAGCAATGATGTCAGAAGTGACATCTTGCTTACTCCTATGCATGTGATCACTGATTGGCCAATCAGCGATCTCATGATCGGGACCTCACACAGAGGTCCCGTACAGTGATCGGTGTTTCGCTGTGTCCGGGCACCGGATCGCTGTGCCGCGCGTTCCCAGGGAGCACACACAGGCAGTGAATGTGGAGGCCATTTATAAACGTCCACCCGCCCCTGCACTGCTCCTGTCCGGACGTTTATGTACATGGGCCGGATGGGAATTGGTTAAATTAATTATTGCAAGTTGAATGGCTGCAAAAATATAATTATAAAGCACATATTGAGAAAGAAAAATTACATTTAGACATTTTGTGGATTGTGGTAGTAATTTCTGCTTTTTTTTTATTGCTCTCCAGATATTGTGAGGTGCAGATCAAAGCTCTGGCCAAAATCCACGGCTTTGTCCAAGACACGTAAGTAAAACCCGTTTAACATATCAGAAAACAGAGACCAATAGCACATTATAGATGTTAGTTCCCCACAGACAGAATTTGTGGGTTTAGCAGCCCTGCATGCCCCATGCTTCATCTGGTGACGCAATGCATTGGTGGGCCGGTAACATGCATCAGTTTGCTGCCAGTATTGTCAGCAATGGTTTTGCAGTCCTAAGTGTTTGATTTCTATAAACATGTCAGCTTCTGAGCCGTGACCACAGAGCTTTCTTCCAGGACGCTGAGTGAGCCCCGCCAGGCGGACATCCGGAAAGAGTGCCTGAAGCTCTGGGGGGTAAGTAGGATGTATACTTAAATGGCATTTAGAATCTAGGCAGCCAAGTGTTGTGTAGAAAAGTAGTAATATGAGCACCCTAGCTTGTAACCCTGAGGGCCCTGACTCATAACAGGAAGACCCTTTTTTTATAACGCAAGGACCCTGCCTCCTAACCCCCGAGGGCCCTGCCTCCTAACCCCCGAGGGCCCTGTCTCCTAACCCCCAAGGGCCCTGCCTCCTAACCCCGAGGGCCCTTTCTCCTAACCCTGAGGGCCCTGGCTCATAACAGGAAGACCCTTTTCCCTAAACCCAAGGGCCCTGCCTCCTAACCCCCGAGGGCCCTGCCTCCTAACCCCCGAGGGCCCTGCCTCCTAACCCCGAGGGCCCTGCCTCCTAACCCCGAGGGCCCTGCCTCCTAAAAAACCCCCGAGGGCCCTGCCTCCTAACCCCCGAGGGCCCTGCCTCCTAACCCCCGAGGGCCCTGCCTCCTAACCCCCGAGGGCCCTGCCTCCTAACCCCCGAGGGCCCTGCCTCCTAACCCCGAGGGCCCTGCCTCCTAACCCCGAGGGCCCTGCCTCCTAACCCCGAGGGTCCTGCCTCCTAACCCCAAGGGCCCTGCCTCCTAACCCCCGAGGGCCCTGCCTGCTAACCCCCGAGGGCCCTGCCTGCTAACCCCCGAGGGCCCTGCCTGCTAACCCCCGAGGGCCCTGCCTCCTAACCCCCGAGGGCCCTGCCTCCTAACCCCCGAGGGCCCTGCCTCTTAACCCCCGAGGGCCCTGCCTCCTAACCCCGAGGGCCCTGCCTCCTAACCCCCGAGGGCCCTGCCTCCTAACCCCCGAGGGGCCCTTTCTCCTAACCCCTGAGGGCCCCCTCTCTTAACCCCGAGGGCCCTTTTAACCCTGAAGGCCCTTTCTCTTAACCCCGAGGGCCCTTTCTCTTAACCCCGAGGGCCCTTTCTCTTAACCCCGAGGGCCCTGTCTCTTAACCCCGAGGGCCCTGTCTGCTGACCCCGAGGGCCCTGTCTACTTAACCCCCATTGCCCTGTCTTTAACCCCCAGGGCCCCGTCTCTTAACCCCCAGGGCCCCGTCTCTTAGGGGCCCCGTCTCTTAACCCCAAGGGCCCTGTCTCCTAACCCGTGGGCCCTGTGTCTATAGTAGGCTTTCTCAACCCTGGTGCCCAGGCACCCCGGGGTGCCATGTGGTTTCTTCAGGGGTACCTTGGCAAAATGTCTAAAAATTGCCCAAAACTTGTATACAAGCCAGCTGGTGGAACAAACCTGCCTTTTAGTTACACAAAGCCACAGGTTTTCATTGTGCACCATTACAACCTTCTAACCGCCGGCATCCTGACAACCAATTACGTCATCAGTTGATAAGGAGGATCTCAGCTGTCTTCACAGCATCCTAGTTTGACCCTCCCCTGCCCCTTCCCATCAGTGCTGGGGTCACATCAGCTCAGTGATGGAGAAAAACTGAGGGAGAGGAGAAACATTGGAATACTAGTCAGTAACAGTGTGCAGAAGTGTATTTGCTTTGGAAGTATAAATCACCTCTAATGTTGGGTGTCCTACATGTGTGGGTGTTGCTGCGTTATATAAACTATTAGAATAGTTTTTTACATTTTAGAATAGAAGGGTGCCTCAAGACTTTCTAAAATTTTAAAGGGTGCCTTCACTGAAAAAAGGTTGAGAAACACTGGTCTACAGTGTGTCCTTTTTTTCTGTTCTAGATTCCTGACCAGGCTCGTGTGGCTCCAACCAACACCGACGCAAAGAACAAGTTCTTCCAGCTGATTCAGGTTGGTCTCTAAAATCAACTGCATGTTCTGCGGGATGGGAGTTTCCACTAGAGTTCAGCCAATGCATGGCCAGCACATTCAAAAATATTTTATAATCTAGTGGGTGGACTCCAGTGGTAAAATCTCCTCCTAGAATTTCTTTCTATGTTCACACTCCTGTCATGTTCTCCCTTAAATGAAATATCAGATTTATTTGGGCTAAGCCTTTAATTACCTACCAACCGCAGATAGCCGAATGACGGCTACACTGCGGCCGGCCAATTCTGGGAGGGCGTCATATGACGTCCTCCCAGAACGCGCTCTCCTGCGCACCCGGCGATCTCCGTGATCGCTGTGTCCTACAGACACAGCTGTTCACGTGATGTGGTAAAAGGCCAATCACAGCGGCCTTTTACCACGTGATCAGCTGTGTCCAATGACACGCTGATCACCGGGAAATGCAATTGCCGGTTCTCGGCTGCACTTTCCTCACGCTGTCAGAGCAGTTGTCAGAGCGGGGATCGGCACCTATCATCAGGGCACTGATGATCAGTGTCCTGATGATTGGTGCCCAGCAATGTCACCCACCAGTGCCGCCCACCTGTGCCCAGCAGTGCCACCCACCTGTGCCCAGCAGTGCTGCCAGTCAGTGCCCAGCGGTTTGTGCCAGTCAGTTCCCAGCAGTTGCACCAGTCAATGCCTAGCAGTGCCGCCAGTCAGTGCCCAGCAGTGATGCCAGTCAGTGCCACCTATCAGTGCTGTCTATCAGTACCCATCATCAGTGTCACCTATCAGTGCCGCCTATCCGTGACACCTCATTAGTGCTGCCTATCAGTGCCGCCTATCCGTGACACCTCAATAATTAGTGCTGCCTATCAGTGCCCTTCAGTACCGCCTATCAGTGCCCATCAGTGCTGCCTCATCAACGTACATCAGTGAAGGAGAAAAAATTACCTGTTTGAAAACTTTTATAATAGAAACAAAGAAACTTTTTTTTTTTTTTCCTAATTTTTTTGCACTTTTTTTGTTTATAGCGCAAAAAGTAAAGCGCCCAGCGGCAATTAAATACCCCCAAAAGAAAGCTCTATTTGTGAGAAAAAAATGATAAAAATTTCATATGGGTACAATCTAGCATGACCGCGCAATTGTCATTCAAAGTGCGGCAGCGCTGAAAGCTGAAAATTGGCCTGGTAAAGAAGGGGGTATACGTGCCTGGTAGGCAAGGGGTTAAAGCTGAATCCTCAGCACATAAAAATAAATCTTCTGAACTTTTTTTTTTTTCTTTATTGTTTTTTTAATATAAAATTTTATTTAACCTTCTAGTCTGAGTACCTGACTGCATAGTCATCCTAGCTTGCGGTATCTTGTGACCTGTCTCTGTTTAATTCAGATAGAACCCTGTAGGACACCATCATGAAGTGGAATGACAAGCAGATCGGGTTGTCCATCCTTTGCAATAATAGCCTCCTTTAGTTCTGCTGGTTAACCACTTGTTTACCGATATACGTTTGGAAACAGCATAATTGACAAGTGACAAATCAAGCTGACTGCTGCTGCAGCTTGGTACTGGTATTACCAGGCAGCAAAGAGCTATCTGATAAAAGTGATCCGGGTGGCTCTAGAGCCGCCCGATCACCATTATTGGGCTCTCAGAGTTTCAGCCTCTTCCCCCCACTGGGCACTCTGTAATGTACCTGATGGTGGAACCTGAAGTGCAGGGGAAGGCCTCTCTTACAGCTTTGGCTCAGGAGCCCTGGTAAAGTAACAGGGAATGTCAGAGCATAGAGGGGCGGGAGTGCCTGATATGCTTCTGTTGATGGGCTTCTGGGGTGCAGGAACAGTTGGCAGATGGCACGCTGGCAGAAGTGCAGAAACTGGAGACTGGCAGGGTTCAGGTGCAGATAAAGAGACAAGATAAAGTCAAGGTCAGACAGTCCAGATCAGGTATAAACAGCAGACAAGCCAGGGGTCGATGCAGGCAGCATTCAGGCAGAGTCAGGGGCGGACTGACCATTTGGGAATTCGGGCACTGCCCGGGGTCAGTAGGGGGCCCCATGAGATGCCCCTGGTACCTTTTTCATAGGTTTTTTTTGAGTTTGGGCAAGGACACAGGGGCCCCATGATCCCCTATTACCCAGGGGCCCCATGAGTTGTCAGTCCGCCCCTGGGCAGAGTCAATAGCAGGTTAGGTCGGCAACAGAAGATCAATACAGGAACAGAATGCACAGATGCTGAGAACATAGTAGACCTAATGGCACTGACACAAGGCACTAGCGCAGCTTAAATAGCCTGCCTGGCGCCAGTGTGCCGTTGCGCATGCGCACTTGCATGCGCCTGCACCTCCATTCTGCATTTTCCGATCTCCCTGCGACTAATGACCCTGGAAGCAACATGTAATACATCACTTCCAAGGTCACAACTGTCATATTCCTCAGCTAGTGTAGCCGAGGATGGAGCTATTAAATGGAGACATGGAGTCTTTTTCTCTTTTGTTTAAAAAAAAAAAAAAAAAAAAAAAAAAAAAGATTTATATAAAGAAATAAAAAGTCAAAAATTTTTTTTTAAAGAACTTTATTACTATTCTATGGCTAGACGTGTGGTATCTTATTTACTCGATACAGATTTTAATGTGCGCAAAAAAAAATATAAAAAATGAACCTTGGTAGGCAAGCGGTTAAAGCAGTTCTTTTTATAAAAGCAGACCCTCACCTGTCGCAGGATCCACCAGTGTCCTCACCTGGCCGGTGCCTTCTCCGGCACCGACATACGAAAGGATACGTCAGGATACGTCCACCTTTCGTAACATGTTACGTTACACCCATATTCAGGGTGTAACATGTTATGATCGGACCGCCCCCCACTCCCCATTGTGACAGCTAATGGTGGGATCTTCTCCACCCCCCCAACCTCCACCCCTGTCCAAGGTAGCTGTCACAATTTAAAAAAAAATGCGGCTGTGCGAGTCTCCGCCCGTCTGGCCACGTCTCCGCCCATCTGGCCGAGTCTCCGCCCGTCTGGCCACATCTCCGCCCATCTGGCCGAGTCTCCGCCCGTCTGGCCGCGTCACTCATTAACAGTATTCTGTGAATGAGAACACTACAAGTTTCAACAGCCTTTGCGGCTGTCCGCTTGTAGTTCTCAATGAACCATCACGGCGCTGTGGAGTTCATTGAGTCTTCCTGTTAGTAAGTATCTGCTCACCCATATGGGATGTACAGGCACACAGATACACTGACAGGTCTGCAGGAGACCTGCATGGCACTGCTTTAGAGGCTCCAGAAACCAATAATAATAAATGCACATTTTTTTTTTACCTGCAAAAAAATGTGCATTTATTATTTTTTCTTAAAAAGTGAACATATCCTTTAACTGTGGATAGCTGGCTGTGACTGCTTGTGGCTTCACAGTCTGCTGCTCACCGCGCTCTCTGAATGGTCCTGCAGCTTTCTGGGACCTGTGGTGTGTCCCAGAAGGCTGTGGGAGAAGGAGGGGTGCCAAACCTACCTAGCGGATCCAGCTGTGTGTTGCAGAATCCTCTCAAAATTCTGCCCCGCTCTGTCCTATCTTCTTGTATGATCGTCGTGAGCCCCCCCCCCCCCCCCCCGATTTTTCCAGGTTCAGCTGCCAGGCCTCCTGATGACATGCTGATAGCCCCGCCCCTTCCTCTTTTCACACTGGAACACTATGCCTCCTGGGATATGTGATGTGCACATCACATATCCCAGGAGGCAAAGGGAGGGTAGTGCGATTGCCCAACGGGTCAAATTCAAAATGTTTACACTGACGTACAAAGCTGTCCATAATACTGCCCCAAATTATCTCGCCGAGCTAATATCCAAATACCACCCAACCCGTACTCTTCGCTCCTCACAAGACCTCCTTCTCTCTAGTTCCCTGGTCTCCTCCTCCCATGCCCGCCTCCAGGACTTCTCCAGGGTGTCACCCATCCTCTGGAACGCCCTGCCCCAATCCATCAGACTATCACCTACTCTCCTCTCCTTTAGGCGCACCCTGAAAACCCACCTCTTCAGGGAAGCCTACCCCACCCCCTGCTAATTGCCGACCTCCCCCACTCTTCCTACCACTCCATCCCCCACAGCTATCTCCTCCTGTACCACCATCCCCTCCCTCCTAGATTGTAAGCTCCAAAGAGCAGGGCCTCGATCCCCTCATGTATCACATTGTATTGATATTGTTCTGTCTCATGTATTGTCTCCCATTGTAATGTACAGCGCTGAGCGAACTATTGGCGCTTTATAGATACTGTATAATAATAATAAAAAATAATAGTGCAAGCCATTCTTCTAAGTGAATGATGCGCAAAGGGGGGCAGGGCTGAACGTCTGTGTTTTAAAAAAAAAACCCCAACAGTGAACTAAAATTGGCTTTGGATTTTTTCCTAGTTCTCCTGAGTCCTGGAGGGGTTCCTCCATTGATCGCTAACCATCTCTGTTTTTTTTTTTTAGAGCCGTGACATTGACGTTTATAGCTACAAACCGACTCCCCTCACATCGAAGACACTGGAGAAGATTAGTCATGTGATGGATTATCGGTGTATGGTGTCCGGGAGTGAGCACAGGTTCCTCTTATGTTTAGGGGTGAGTGACGGCCCCCCCGAGAGTGCTCTGGTGTGTTTGGTGAAGAGTATAAGATCTGATTCATGTATACGTTCTCTCTCTGCAGAGATCCCAGATATACACCTGGGGTGGGCGGCCTGCAGAACGGTGGACTAAATTAGATCTGAAAACCGAACTTCCACGAGACACTCTGCTGTCTGTAGAGATTGTTCACGAGCTGAAGGGGGAGGTGGGTATCTGGTCGCTTTCTCAGTGAGCGCTGGCGGTGACTTTACATTCTGGGTGGCTGCAGTTGGTGTAATGGACGTCTTGTGATGTATTTACAGGGGAAAGCTCAGAGAAAGATCAGTGCCATTCATATCCTCGATGCTCTGTTTCTCAATGGCATGGACATTCGACCTCAACACTTCAATCAGAGGCAAGTGCTGAATCTGTGAACAGGAATTTCCTACATCTTATAGCTGCAGACACGCATTTTGCAGAAGTGTTTGATGATATTCTTTTTTTTCTCCATTGTCCATCGAAGAACGCAGGAATTAAAGTGCTTGTAAAGGCAGAAGGTGTTTTACCTTCATACCTTCTGTGTGCAGCAGACCCCCCTAATACTCACCTGAGCCCCTTCTCAATCCAGCGATGTGCATGAGAGCCTTGAAATGCAGGGTCTGGAGGAGGACCAGAGGAGGGCTGGAGTTGGCTTACTACTGAGACCAGGGGAGGTGGGGATAAGGGGGTGCTGCAGCTGCACAGAGAGGCGCAGCATCTGTAGGAGGAGTTCTGTCCTCTTCTCTGCTGCCGACTATTGAGATGGAGGGTAGAGATGAGCCTCTCTGCGGCTGCATGGAGAAGTGCAACATCTGGTGGAGGAGTTCTGTCCTCCTCACTGCTGCTGACTGCTGATACAAGGTGGGGGGCGGAGACGAAGGGGGTGCTTCAGTTGCAGGAGAGGTGCGAGGGTCACCTGAAATGGCCCGGTGGGCCTTGTGTTTGACACATGTGGTCTACACAATCTCAGGCTGCAGTGGGGACACAGACAAGGAGGGAGGGACAGCGAAAAGCAAGATTAACCAGATTTTTTGCAGAATACAGAAAAGGAATCCCATAGTGACTGAAGTTGTATAAACAACATGTAACACAGCATGTACTGACAGTTTTTAATGATATGGGTTTAATTATTATTATTATACAGGATTTATATCGCTCCAACAATTTGCTCAGCGCTTTACAATATAACGGGAGACAATACAGCAACAATACAGTTCAATACAAGAGGGTTAGGAGGGTCCTGATCCTGGGAGCTTACAATCTAAGGGGGAGGGGCTAGTGGTACAAAAGGTAGTAACTGTGGGGGATGGACTGGTAGGAGGAATAGAAGATTACATTATTAGCTGAGGGCAGGATAGGCTTCCCTGAAGAGAGAGGTTTTCAGACATCACCTAAAAGTGAGCAGAGTAGGCGATAGTCTGATAAATTTGGGTAGAGAGTTCCAGAGGATGGGGGAAGCTCTGGAGAAGTCCTGGAGCGGAGAGTACGGTTTGGGTGATATTTGGAGACAAGATCGGTGATGTAATTTGGGGCAGAGTTTAATGACACTTTAAGATCATTTTTCCTATTTGACACTTCCAGGAGACAGGTTGCTTGGGGGCCCCATCAAAATTTTACAGTAGGGACCCATGAATTGAGGTTTTTCCCATGAGGAGCATAGAGTACGTGCAATAGCGGCTATTGCAGGAAAAGGATAGAACTGTCTTCCTATCCCTGGGTATTAATTATTTCCATTTGCTGGTGAGTCTTCCATGAACTGCAGAGCAGATGATCCGCACTGTGAAGGTTGTGACAGCTGATAGTGATGTATACAGAATGACATCATTTGTATCTCCTCTCCTTCCCCAGGATTCAGCTGGCAGAGAAGTTTGTAAAGGCCGTTTCTAAGCCCAGCCGCCCCGACATGAACCCCATCCGGTTAGTGAGCTCCTGTATGAGATGTTCATTTCCGCTTCTGAAAACTGCCTTGGTTTCTTTTTGAAGCAGATGGTAATATAAATTCGGTATCACAAAAATTAATAAATAAATAGTAATACAACCCTGTGTGACACTCCAAAAAGTCCCACTTTCACCCTTGAAAGTCAAAATATAAATAAACCTTTTTGTGTCAGAAATTATATTAAATGTGCAAAGTCCAAAATAAGTCCAAATAAATTATTCCTCCGTATTCAACTTCAACATCCCCATGTGTCCAAACAAGTCATATACCTCAAAAAAAACCAAAAAACTAAAATAGTGTATTACCTCAATATAATCAATAGGTACAGTTGTGTTCAAAGTAATAGCAGTGTGTTGAAAAAAGTGACTAAAGCTGAAAATCCTTCTAATACTTTTATTTCCATCCACACAAATGCATTGGGAACACGACACATTCTATTCCAAATCACAACATGAAGAAAAATACATCAAATTTGTGTTGTTCCTCTAAAAAAATGGAAGAAAAGTGAATATTAGACGGTTCAAAAAAAAATCGCAGTGTTTGTATTCTTCTTTACAAACTCAAACATTCACTATATAAACTGAGAAATGTTTGAAGATTTTGCTTTCCTTTGAATGACTTCATGAATATTTGGTTGTAGTCGCACTGTTTCTGAGAACTGCTGTACATCTGTGTTGCATGGAGTCCCCCAACTTCTGGCCCCTGTGATCAGGTATTCCAGCCCAGGATGATTGGACCACATTCCACAGTTCTTCTCTATTTCTTGGTTTTGCCTCAGAAACGGCATTTTTGATGTCACCCCATAAGTTTTCTATTGGATGAAGATCCGGGGATTGGGCTGGCCACTCCATAACGTCCATCTTGTTGGTCTGGAACCAAGATGTTGCACGTTTACTGGTGTGTTTGGGGTCGTTGTCTTGTTGGAACTCCCATTTCAAGGGCATTTCCTCTTCAGCATAAGGCAGCATGACCTCTTCAAGTATTCTGATGGATTCAAACTGATCCATGATCCCTGGTATGCGATAAATAGGCCCAACACCGTAGTATGAGAAACATCCCCATATCATGATGCTTGCACCACCATGCTTCACAGTCTTCACAGTGTACTGTGGCTTGAATTCAGTATTTGGGGGTCGTCTGACAAACTGTCTCCGCCCACTAGACCCAAAAAGAACAATCTTACTTTCATCAGTCCACAAAATGTTGCACCATTTCTCTTTAGGCCGGTCAATGTGCTCTTTGGCAGATTGTAACCTCTTCAGCACACGTCTTTTCCCCAACAGTGGGACTTTGCGGGGACTTCTTGCAGATAGCTTGGCTTCACATCGGCGTCTTCTAATTGTAACAGTCCTCACAGGGAACGTCACACCTTCTTTCATCTTCCTGGAGCTGATTGTTGGCTGAGTCCGCCCCATTTTGGCTATTCTTCTATCCATTCCAATGGTAGTTTTTCGCTTTCTTCCGTCTTTCAGGTTTTGGTTGCCATTTTAAAGCATTTGCGATCATTTTAGCTGAGCAGCCGATCATTTTCTGCACTTCTTTATATGTTTTCCCCTCTCCAATCAACTTTTTAATCAAGGTACGCTGTTCTTCTGAACAATGTCTGGAACGACCCATTTTCCTCAGAATTTCAGAGAGAAATGCACTGTAACCAGCATGTCCAACATTTGCTGCCTTCCTTCCTTAAATAAGGGCAATAATTGCCACCTGTTTCTCAAAGAATGAATGACCTCACTAATAGAACTCCACACGGCTATTATTTTGAACACGCCCCTTTCAATGAATGATTCAATGACACAGAATCAGCAGCATGCATGTCATGACTGTTGGGTCTGTTGGATTTCTATGACTCTACTACACCTGCTAGGAAATTATTTGCCATGTAGAAATATCATTTCCACCAAAAACAGTGATTGATCCGGTTAGTGATGTCTGACTGCTATTATTTTGAACACAACTGTATATACTTCAATATAATCAATAGGTATATACTTCACAAATAAATTTATCAAAATGTGCAAAAAGAAAAGATTCAAACTGCGTGCAACACGTACACTCTATATACATATGTGATCACTCTGTGTACACTCTTAACCACTTCCCGACCGGCCGTTGCATATAAATGGCTGGACGGTGGCACTGCAGGGTCGGGTGGCCGTTTATAAACTGCCTCCCCGCACCCTGCTTGTGCACGCTCCCTGGGAGCAAGCAGCACCGCGATCCGGTGCCCGCTGTGTCCTCCGGACACAGTGAAGCACTGATCGTCAGACGGGACCTCTGTACGAGGTCCCGATCATGTGATCACTGATTGGCCAACCAGTGATCACATGCAAAGTAGTAAGCAAGATGTCACTTCTGACATCATTGCTTACTACGTGTGAAATCTGTGAATGATCACAGAGGTCACATGGTACAGAGCTATTCACAACAGCCTTGTACCATGTGACAAGCTGTGACCAATCACAGCTCACACAGTACTTCTCAATGAGTGCAAGAATGCAGGCAGAGAGAAAGAGAAATGATTGCTTTTACATCCTATATGGGTGTAAAAGCAATCAGTGTAAAAAAAAAAAAAAAAAAAATCTTCATCACCCCCTACAAGTAGTACAGTGTCACCTTGGTGACATTGTACTGCTAGGGTGACAGTATGTAAAAAAATAAAAATAAATAAAAAATAATATTATAAAAAAATAAAATAAAAATGTAAAAAAAAATGTTTAAAAATTATAATTTTTGGTTATAAACTAATTTGGATTTTTGTTTTTTACTGAAAAGATAACAGAATAAATTTTGGCTAAGATTTATGATGAAATATTATTTATTTGCAAAATTTTATAAAAAAAAACACTTTTTTTTTTTCAAAATTTTTGGACATTTAATTTACATAGCAAAAAAAAAAATACAAATCCCAGCGGTGAATAAATACCACCAAAATAAAGCTTTATCTGTCTCAAAAAAATGGTAAAAAACTCATTTGGGTACAGTGTTGCATGACCGCGCAATTGTCATTCAAAGTGTGATAGCGCTTAAAGCTGAAAATTGCCCTGGTCAGGAAGGGGGTAAAAGTGTCCGGTCTGGAAGTGGTTAAATAAAATTGTGAACACTTCTAGGTAACTGAAATGCATACAATTACCCTAAATCAAGTAATAGCAAGCCTTTAGAGTACACCCTGGACTCTGACTCCAGTGTTGCTGTTACTTCCTGGACTCTGACTCCAGTGTTGCTGTTACTTCCTGGACTCTCACTCCAGTGTTGCTGTTACTTCCTGGACTCTCGCTCCAGTGTTGCTGTTACTTCCTGGACTCTCGCTCCAGTGTTGCTGTTACTTCCTGGACTCTCGCTCCAGTGTTGCTGTTACTTCCTGGACTCTCGCTCCAGTGTTGCTGTTACTTCCTGGACTCTCACTCCAGTGTTGCTGTTACTTCCTGGACTCTCGCTCCAGTGTTGCTGTTACTTCCTGACTCTCACTCCAGTGTTGCTGTTACTTCCTGGACTCTCGCTCCAGTGTTGCTGTTACTTCCTGGACTCCCGCTCCAGTATATTATAGACATCCAGAATAGGATTCCAATCGTTTGATAAATAGCTCCTCACATAGCCATCATCTTCATAGGTAGAGAGAAAGAAGCCCACATAGTGTAGTATTTCAAGTGTGTATAAAACATTTATTGCAGTGGTTACATTCAAATACTCATCAATCAGCAGCAGGTTCCCCTGTCCCAACCTAGAGCAGCTTCCTGGAACGCTGCAATGCCGATTCCAACAACAAAGATGGCCGCTCCGCCACTTCCGGTTTGTGTGTTACGTCAGACGTCACGTCTTCTGACTCGTCACTTCCGGACTTCTTTACAATTACATACGTAGTTAGTCTGGCTGAAAAAAGACAAAAGTCCGTCCAGTTGAACCATAAAAAAAAAAAAAAAAGTTATAATCCTACTCCCCCAGTTGATCCATACATATGCGATTTTCTTTCCTTCAGCCACAAGTTGAAGGAAAGGAAATCACTTGATTTCCCCTATTGACACAGTCACAGTTGATGAGGGAATTCCTCCCTTTGTGCTATTATATTCTGACAGTGGGGGGGGTTTCCCTGCCATCAGAATACAATGATCAATGCTGCCGGTTATAGCCAGCGACAGTGATCGTACAAAAATCAACCAGACAGGCTGGTTGCACTGAAGTCAATCAGTAGATCGACTTCACTACAACCAGCCTGCCTGTAGACGGATCAGAATTTGGCCGGTTCCTGCTGAATCGGTCAAATTTTGACCCATCTATGGCCGGCTTTAAAGCATCACAACTGGCTGCCCAACAAACCTACATCTCTCGCAATGCTGTGCATTACCATGTCGATGAAAAGGGAAGGAAGAGTCAGGAAAGACAACAGATTAAATTTGAGCTTTGCCTTTAGCAGCTCATTAATATTGGGGTGATTTGTGTCACAGTGTTTGTTTCTCGTCTCCAGGGTGAAGGAGGTGTACAGGTTAGAGGAAATACAGAAGATATTTTTTGAGGTAAGTGTGACTAGACATTGAGGCCTGTAAGTAAAATCAGACTAGACCTTATTTATTTAACAAAAAAAAAAAAAACATTGTACTGCCCCAATGTGCTGACACATACAGTATCTCCCAGAAGTGAGTCCCCCCCTCACATTTGTGTAAATATTTGATTCTATCTCTTCATGTGACAACACTGAAGAAATGACACTTTGCTACAATGTGACGTAGTCAGTGTACAGCTTGTATAACATGTAAATTTGTTGTCCCCTCAAAATAACTCAACACACCGCCATTAATGTCTAAATCGCTGGCAACAAAAGTGAGTCCACCCTAAGTGACTAGGTCCAAATTGGGCCCAATTAGCCATTTTCCCTCCCCAGTGTCATGTGACTCGTTAGTGTTACAAGGTCTCAGGTGTGAATGGGGAGCGGGGGGGGGGGTTACATTTGGTGTTATCGCTCTCACTGTCTCATACTGGTCACTGGAAGTTCAACATGGCACCTCATGGCTAAGAACTTTCTGGGGATCTGAGAAAAAGAATTGCTCTACATAAAGATGGCCTAGGCTATAAGAAGATTGCCAAGACCCTGAAACTGAGCTGCAGCACGGTGGCCAAGACCATACAGTGGGGTAACAGGACAGGTTCCACTCAGAACAGGTCTCGCCATGGTTGACCAAAGGAGTTGAGTGCACGTGCTCAGCGTCATATCCAGAGGTTGTCTTTGGGAAATAGACGTATGAGTGGTGTCAGCATTGCTGCAGAGGGTGAAGGGGTGGGGGGGTCAGCCTCTCAGTGCTCAGACCATACGCCGCACACTGCATCAAATCGGTCTGCATGGCTGTCATCCCAGAAGGAAGCCTCTTCTAAAGATGATGCACAAGAAATCCCGCAAACAGTTTGCTGAAGACAAGCAGACTAAGGACATGGATTACTGGAACCATCTCCTGTGGTCTGATGACACCAACATCAACGGATTTGGTTCAGATGGTGTCAAGCGTGTGTGGCAGCAACCAGGTGAGGAGTACAAAGACAAGTGTGTCTTGCCTACAGTCAAGCATGGTGGTGGGGGTGTCATGGTCTGGGGCCCCATGTTGGTGGGAGTGTCTGGTCTGGGGCTGCATGAGTGCTGCCGGCACTGGGGGGCTACAGTTCATTGAGGGAACCATGAATGCCAACATGTACTGTGACATACTGAAGCAGAGCATGATCCCCTCCCTTCGGAGACTGGGCCGCAGGGCAGCATTCCAACATAATAACCACCCCAAACACACCTCCAAGACCACCCCTGCCTGGCTAAAGAAGCTGAGGGTGAAGGTGATGGACTGGCCAAGCATGTCTCCAGACCTAAACCCTATTGAGCATCTGTGGGGCATCCTCAAACGGGAAGGTGGAGAAGCGCAAGTCTCTAACATCCACCAGCTCCGTGATGTCGTCATGGAGGAGTGGAAGAGGACTCCAGTGGCAACCTGTGAAGCTCTGGTGACCTCCATACCCAAGAGGGTTCAGGCAGTGCTGGAAAATAATGGCGGCCACACAAAATATTGACACTTTGGGCCCAATTTGGACCTTGTCACTTAGGGGTGGACTCACTTTTGTTGCCAGCGGTTTAGACATTAATGGCGGTGTGTTGAGTTATTTTGAGGGGACACAGAAAATTTCCATGTTATACAAGCTGTACACTGACTACGTCACATTGTAGCAAAGTGTCATTTCTTCAATGTTGTCACACGAAAAGATAGAATCAAATATTGACACAAATGTGAGGGGTAGACTCACTTCTGGGAGATACTCTACATGTCCAAGCTTCCAGTGGGACATTAGGAAATGTGCATAAATCCTATAATTTAAATCTGAACTCCAGAAATTCCGCTGCTTTGTAAAAACTGCAGGCATACCATGAGTTAGGTCCAGAGACGTGCCTGCCGCCTTGAAGACTTATCTCTATTATTCATATTTTACAGGTTTATTGTGCTTTAGGAAGATGACTTCTGCTGGTTACGGTGATCTCAGTTCCTTTAAGAGCAGAGTTGTTGGAGCTGCTAAGCCTGCCCCTCCTGCCCATTCACAGAAGCCTTTGCCAAAGGCTTCTGTGAATGGGCAGCAGAGGGGAGGGTGTGGGCATAGCTTCTCTGTGTGCTTTTCTCTGGGAGGGCAATAAAACTGTCACATATAAGTAATATAGAGATAAGTCCTGGAGGTGAGAACGCATATGTGCAGTGGAGTCGAGCATTAACCACAGGCCGCCCAGCCACTGTAGAAATACTGCGTCACGGCTGGGCAAAACCACGCCGCCCTACCTGTCCCGCCGATCACAGCCGCGGATGTCAGTCGCCGGGTCACAGCCCTGTCGTTACCGGCTATGTCCCGGCGATCGGCGGCAATCGCTGACAGAGAGCAGGGCTGCAGTAGCTGTGCTTTCTGTCAGTTCCCTGACAGCTCCAGGACCGCTGATCGGGGACTGAAGAGTTTCTCTCTCTTCGATCAGCAGTGTTCCCTGCAGTACACCCCCCCACCCCTAGTAAAACACTCCCCTCACACAGTTAACACTTTCCCTGAATAATAAACTTAACCCCTTCCTCCCAGTGTCATTAGTACAGTGTCAGTGCTTTTTTTTTTTTTTTTGCACTGTATTGGTGTCACTGGGGATGTCAGTGACCCCAATGTCAGAATGTCCGCCGCAGTCCCGCATAAGTCGCTGATTGCCGCCAATAAGTCGCTGATTCGCCGGCCATTATTAGTATAAAAAAAAAACTAAAAATCCCAGTATCTTTCTCGCCATTTGTAAACGCTATAACTTTCACGTAAACCAATTAATTTACACGTATTGGGTTTTTTTTTTTAGCAAAAAGACATGTCGCAGAATACATTTTGGCAGAAATTTATGACTAAATTTGATTTTTAATTTTTTTTTTTACTGGACATGTTTTATAGCAAAAAGTCCAAAATATTTGTTTTTTTTCCTCAAAATTGTTAGCCTTTTTTTTTTTATAGCGCAAAAATAACAACCGCACAGGCGATCAAATACCACCGAAAGAAAGCTCAATTTGTGGGAAAAAAAAGGATGTAAATTTCATTTATGTACCGTATTGCATGACTGCGCAATTGTCGCGTTAAACTAGCGCAGCGCTGTATTATAGCAAACAAAATGGCGTAAATTGCAGTATCTATACCATAGTTTGTAGACGCTATAACTTCCACACAAAGCAATCAATATACACTTATTGGGATTTTTTTTTTACCAAAAACATGGAGCAGAATACATTTTGGCCTAAATTTATTTTTTACTAACTTTGAGTTTACTATATATTTTTTTATAGCTGAAAGTAAAAAATATTGTTTTTCTTCAAAGTTTTTGGCCTTTTTTTGTTTATAGCCGCGCGAAAAATAAAAAAGCGCACAGGTGATCAAATACCACCGAAAGAAAGCTCTATTTGTGTGAAAAAAAGGACGTAAATTTCGTTTGGGTTGTGACAGCATTGCATGACCGCGCAATTATCGGTTGAATTTAGTGCAGCGCTGAGTAGCAAAAAGAGGCGTGGTCATTAAGGGGGGTAAATCCTCTGGAGGTCAATTGGTTAAAAAGTGAAAGTTTGATTTATGATTATTATTCTGTCCCATTACTTTTGGTCCCTTAACAAGTGGGAGGCACATATGCAAACTGTTGTAATTCCTACACCGTTCACCCCCGATTTGGATGTAAAACACCCTCAAATTAACGCTGACAGTCTGCAGTTAAAGCACATCTTGTTCATTTCATTTCAAATCCATTGTGGTGGTGTATAGAGCCAAAAATGTTAGAATTGTGTCCATGTCCCAATATTTATGGACCTGACTGTATAATGTTCATGACTGGGGGGAACACATGTGCTTCCTCATTTGTAGCTGTTGAAGATGGCTGTTTTTTTCCCAGCGTTTATTGGCCTTTTTGAAGCGCCGCCCTGGAGGAAGACCCATTATGGGGTGGCCCATGCATCGCCGCTTACTCTGTTCCTGTGATTGTTTCTAGGCTGGAAATGAAGCTCATTAAGAGTTCCAGCGGGATGTTACGTCTGTCCTACACCAGCAGAGACGACCGTCACTTCGTACCGTCTGGTCTGTATATTGTGAAGACTGTGAATGGTGAGTTTGTGAACAGATTTTATTGCAATGTTGTCTCCCCCCCCCCCTCCCCAGGCAGTAGAATACCTTGCTGGGGTTACATAATATCACAGACACCTTACAGAAGTGAAGGAGGAGAAATCACAAAACTTACTAAAATAATAATGCAGAACTCCAGCCCAACAAAATGATCATTGAACCCTTCGTACGGACCTGTCAGCGGGTTTTACACACACTCCCAGTGACTGCTGGCTGTCAGATGGAAGCAGTCCGGCTCCTCCACTGCCGCCAGATTGATTCCACACACCCCTGGTTAACGGGTGTGCACCCCTGTCCCTATATCCATGTGCCCATCTATGGGACCGGCATGGCGTCCCGCTCTCCTTTCTTTCTTCTTGCTGACCTGGAAAACATTTGTATGAAATCACTTCCGGGTCCCCCTCTCGCATTCCCTGGCCAGCATGGCTGGGAGAGAATCTAATGCAATGTGATCTGTACTGTGTTAGATTCATTGGAGCACAGGGGAAACATCCAGGGTTTTTCAGACCCCAGATGCAGGGCAGTACAGTGACTAAATGGTTAGCACTTCGGCCTGGCAGTACTAGGGTTGTTGGTTCGAATCCCAACCAACGGCACCACGTGCCTGGAGTTTGCATGTTCTCCCTGTGCCTGCGTGTGTTTCCTCCGGGCTCCTGTCTAAATTGTCCCTAGTATGTGTATGTTATGAATTGTGAGTTAGGGCCCTTAGATTGTACGCCCCTTGAGGGTTAGGGCCCTTAGATTGTACGCCCCTTGAGGGTTAGGGCCCTTAGATTGTACGCCCCTTGAGGGTTAGGGCCCTTAGATTGTACGCCCCTTGAGGGTTATGGACCTTAGATTGTACGCCCCTTGAGGGTTAGGGCCCTTAGATTGTACGCCCCTTGAGGGTTAGGAACCTTAGATTGTACGCCCCTTGAGGGTTAGGGACCTTAGATTGTACGCCCCTTGAGGGTTAGGGACCTTAGATTGTACGCCCCTTGAGGGTTAGGGCCCTTAGATTGTACGCCCCTTGAGGGTTAGAGAATGATTTGAATGTACAATATATATGTAAAGCGCTGCGGAAATTGATGGCGCTATATAAGTACCTGAAATAAAATAAATAAATAAAATGTCTCATTAAAGAGAACCTGTCACCAAGAAATCACGACCTAGAGGACTTCACACATTATTAAAATGAAAACTGTTCAAAGCAGCAGTAAGGACCCCTCAACATGCAGAAGAAGAAGAAGGTCTCAGCCAGAAGATTAGAATATTCCAGTTTTATACACAGTTTTCCTTTAGGGCCGGTTCACACTCCATGCATTTCAGTTGCTTTTATTCTGCATCCAAAACGCACATAAAGTAGGTGATATGGTTGTCAGTGTCCTAGTTCACATCAGTGCAGGGGCGGACTGACCATTTGGAAACTCGGGCACTGCCTGAGGGCCCGGGGTCAGTAGGGGGCCCCATGAGATGCCCCTGGTACCTTTTTCATAGGCTTTTTTGAGTTTGGGCAAGGACACGGGGGGGTCCCATGATCCCCTATTGCCCGGGGGCCCCATGAGTTGTTAGTCTGCCCCTGCATCAGTGCTTGCAGTTCCGGTGCGTTCCGGATGCAGAAAAAAAAGTAGAACAGGCTGCATTTTTTCTGCACAGAACTGTACTGGAACGCGGTAAAACGCATCAAAAACGCACTGGAGCGCACTGGAACGCACATATCCCTATTTAAATTGAAGAAAAAGGGGGAAAATGAACTGGCATGCAGCAAAAACGCATCCGGAGCGCATCTGGACTGCGTTTCTATACTGCCCTTAGTCTTTTTTTTTTTTTTTTTTTTTTTTTTTTTTAAATAACACATCATTTAGCAGAAAAAATGTGTTCCACAAAACGTTCAACCTATAGAAATGAACAGGCATCATATCTGATAGTATATGGATTCCCTGGTTTCCGGACAAATAGCCATTCCACATAATGGTATTTCAATCAGCAATCCTGACTCCTTGGCTGGAGGACTCCTGACTCAGGGAGAGCTTGGCACTCCTGAGTCTTCCCCTTCAACTTGCTGACAGCTGCTGGGAGTGGATTTGCAGTATTCATTGCAGGTAATACTGCAGCCCCCTGAGAAAGATTTAGATATATAGTATGGAAACCTTGTAGCACTGGGGTCCTGGCTTCTGTTCCATCAGCATCACTCAATTCAGGGTTCAGTGTACTATAAACAGCACTGCGGTATATGTCAGAGCTATGTAAATGTATAATAGTGTGTGACTGTGGGGGAGGGGACATTAGAGTGTAAGCTCCTCTGGGACAGAGACTGATGTGACTGTGGGGGAGGGGACATTACAGTGTAAGCTCCTCTGGTACAGAGACTGATGTGACTGTGGGGGAGGGGACATTAGAGTGTAAGCTCCTCTGGTACAGAGACTGATGGGACTGTGGGGGGGAGGGGACATTAGAGTGTAAGCTCCTCTGGTACAGAGACTGATGTGACTGTGGGGGAGGGGACATTAGAGTGTAAGCTCCTCTGGTTCAGAGACTGATGTGACTGTGGGGGAGGGGACATTAGAGTGTAAGCTCCTCTGTACAGAGACTGATGGTACTGTGGGGGAGGGGACATTAGAGTGTAAGCTCCTCTGGTACAGAGATTGATGTGACTGTGGGGGAGGGGACATTAGAGTGTAAGCTCCTCTGGTACAGAGATTGATGTGACTGGCTCAGTGATCTCTGTACAGCACTGCAGTGTATGTTAGAGCTATATAAATAATAGTGTGTGACTGTGGGGGGGGACATTAGAGTGTAAGCTCCTCTGGTACAGAGACTGATGTGACTGTGGGGGAGGGGGGACATTAGAGTGTAAGCTCCTCTGTACAGAGACTGATGGTACTGTGGGGGAGGGGACATCAGAGTGTAAGCTCCTCTGGTACAGAGATTGATGTGACTGTGGGGGAGGGGACATTAGAGTGTAAGCTCCTCTGGTACAGAGATGATGTGACTGTGGGGGAGGGGACATTAGAGTGTAAGCTCCTCTGGTACAGAGATTGATGTGACTGGCTCAGTGATCTCTGTACAGCACTGCAGTGTATGTTAGAGCTATATAAATAATAGTGTGTGACTGTGGGGGGGGGGGACATTAGAGTGTAAGCTCCTCTGGTACAGAGATTGATGTGACTGTGGGGGAGGGGACATTAGAGTGTAAGCTCCTCTGGTACAGAGATTGATGTGACTGGCTCAGTGATCTCTGTACAGCACTGCAGTGTATGTTAGAGCTATATAAATAATAGTGTGTGACTGTGGGGGGGGGACATTAGAGTGTAAGCTCCTCTGGTACAGAGACTGATCTATCAGTGCCATGGAAAGGAATAAAATACCACCCCGGTAACAGGAGACAACTGTACAGATGTATTTGTAGAATTGTTTGTGCGTTCATTATAGTTATGTTGTTTCTTGAGCTCTGAGCAGTAAACCCCCCCGCTGTCTATCCGCAGATCCCTGGACGATGGCTTTTAGCAAGAGCCACAATCACAAATATTTCTACAATCTGAAGACACACAGAAGTCCCAATTCGAAGTACCTGTGGAGTCCATCGCACCATTTCAGTAAGTGTATTATTGCCCAGACCATGTGACTGCGCTGCTTCTTACAGGGGGGCTGAATGTGGGGAAAGATGACATTCAGCATCTTCATTTTAGTTAAAGTACATCGGAAATCAACAGGTTTTTTTAAACCGAGTAGGGAAGGGTAAATGTCTCGTAGGAACTGTCTAACTTGGTGGCGGTCAACTTGATACTTCTATGACAATTGCCAGTCAGCGGCAGTTCTTTCCTCACACTGTGACAGCATGAGGAAAGTGCAGCCGATAACCGGCAACTGTATTTACTGGTGATCTGCTGTGTCCAATCACCGGCGGTGCGCGCTGTGTCATTGGACACAGCTAATCACGTGGTAAAAGGTCGCTGTGATTGGCCATTTACCGTATCACGTGATCAGCTGTATCCATAGGACACAGCGCGCACCGCCGGTGATTGGACACAGCAGATCACCAGTAAATACAGTTGCCGGTTATCGGCTGCACTTTCATCATGCTGTCACAGTGTGAGGAAAGAACTGCCGCTGACTGGCAATTGTCATAGAAGTGATCGGCACTGATCATCAGGGCACTGATGATCAGTGCCCAGCAGTTCCACCCACCTGTACCTATCAGTGCCACCCATTAGTTCTGCCCAGCAGTGCCGTCAGTCAATGCCACCCATCAGTGCAGCATCATCAATGCCGGCTCATCAGTGCCGCCTATCAATGCTGCCTATCACTACCTCCTATCAGTGCCCATCAGTGCTGCCTATCCCTGCCATCTCATCAGTGCCCATAAGTGCCGCCAGTATCAGTGCCTATCCCTGCCATCTCATCAGTGCTAATCAGTGCTGCCTATCGGTGCCCATCAGTGCTGCCTATCAGTGCATCCTCATGAGTGAAGAAGAAAAATTACCTGTTTGCAAAATTTTATAATAGAAACAAAGAAAAAGCTTTTTTTTTTTCTAATTTTTTGCTTTTTTTTTGTTTATAGCGCAAAAAATAAAACACCCAGCGGCGATTAAATACCACCAAAAGAAAGCTCTATTTGAGTGAAAAAAAAAATGATAAAAATTTCATATGGGTACAGTGTTGCATGACTGCTCAATTGTTATTGAAAGTGCGACAGCACTGAAAGCTGAAAATTGGCCTGGGCAGGAAGGGGGTAGAAGTGCCCGGTAGGCGAGGGGTTAATGTCCCTTCAAATTGTTTGCTCGGGCCAGCTTGTCCCGCTAACACCTGTGCTTGCATAGCGCACTCTATTAGCTGTATGTAGACTTAGCTACATACAATATACAGCACTATGATCTGGCGGTAGGGGGGGACTTTCTGTGCCCCTCCTTCAACTAAATAGAAAACAGAGGTGCCAAGGCGCTGAATCAGTAAAAAATGCCAAACAAATAAATCCAAACTTACACCTAGGCAAAGGACGAGCAGCATCGATGTGGGGGGTGAAAGACCACAGCAACAAGGATCTGCAAGGATCGATGAGCCAGGTAATGGAGAGCCAGACCCGCCAGGAAGCATGCCACAACGGCGTCTAGTACCGGCCTCCCCCCTACACACAGGGCTGGAACCCTGAACGGACGGTGTGGGCCCTGAAACGTGAATGCCCGCCCTCCTCGTCTCTCGGCATCAGTTCCAGCTCGAGTGGAGAGGGAGGCCGGTACTAGGCGCTGTTGTGGCATGCTATCTAACGGGTCCAGCTTTCTATTGCCTGGCTCATCGATCCCTGCAGATCCGTGTTGCTGTGCTGTGGTCTTTCACCCTCAATGCTGCTCGTGCTTTACCTAAACATAATTTTGGATTTTTTTGTATGAATAAACTTTGGCACTCCTTACTGATTCAGCGCCTTGGTACCTCTATTTTCTACAAGCCTCCAGATCTTCCCTGGATCTTTGTTCACCAAGTGCTGCGGATTGCCAGCTATCTCCCAGTGGATCTCCTCATCCACCCACTTTGATTCCACTTCATCCTGTTTTTTTTTTAGCTAACCACTAGCCTACCGGGCACTTCTACCACTTCCTGCCCAGGCCAATTTTCATCCTGTTTAGCACTGTTTTTTTCTGAATGACAATGTCCAGTGCGGACACTTTCCCCCCCTTCCAGTGCGGACACTTTCCCCCCCTTCCAGTGCGGACACTTTCCCCCCTTCCAGTGCGGACACCTTCCCCCCCTTCTAGTGCAACACTGTACCCCCCTTATGAACTTTTTTTCCATTGCGGACACTTTCCCCCCCTTCCAGTCGGGACACTTTCCCTCCCACAAATTTTGGTGGTATTCCAGTCCGGTGTTTTTCCCCCCCTTCGCTATAAACAAAGAAAGAGCAAACCGGAATTTTCAAAATTCCATCGGGACAGAAACCCCCCTTCCAGTCCGACAAAACTTTCCAGTCCGGACACTTTTTTCCAGTCCGGACACTTTCCCCCCCCCTTCCAGTCCGGACACTTTCCCCCCCTGAGTGGCACTTTGAGGCCCTGCACTGATCCGGACTGATAGGCAGGACTGATGAGTGGGCACTGATAGGTGGCACTGATGAGTCTGGCACTTGATGCCCCCCTGAGTATGGACAACTTTCCCCCCCTTCCAGTCGGGACACTGACTTTCAGCCCTGCTTCCAGTCCGGACACTTTCCCCCCCCTTCACAGTCCGGACACTGATCCCCCCCTTCCACTCGGGACACTTTCCCCCCCTTCCAGTCGGGACACTTTCCCCCCACTTCCAGGCGGACACTTTCACCCCCTTCCAGTCCGGACACTTTCCCCCCCTTCCAGTCCGGACACTTTCCCCCCCTTCCAGTCCGGACACTTTCCCCCCCTTCCAGTCCGGACACTTTCCCCCCCAGTGTCTGGACACTTTCCCCCCCTTCCAGTCCGGACACTTTCACCCCATTCCTGCCCAGGCCAATTTTCAGCTCTCAGCGCTATCACAGCGTTGAATGTAAGTGCAGCGGATAACCGCAACTGCATGTACCTGGTGAAATTTTTGTAATTTTTTTCACACCAATAGAACTTTCATTGGTGGAATTCAGTTGCGACTGGGTGATTCTATTTTTTAACACTATACATGATCAAAGAAAGAGCAAACACAGCGAAAAAAAAACCAGGTGCGCTTTGTTTCTATTATAAAATTTTGCAAACAGGTAATTTTTCTGCTTCACTGATGTGCATTGATGAGGCCGCACTGATGGGCAGGACTGATAGCGCGGCACTGATAGGTGGCACTGATAATGCTGCACTGATATGCAACGATGGGCTCTGATAGGTGGCACTGACTGGCAGCACTACTGGGCACTGATGGGTGACACTGGGTGGCACTGATGGATGGCTCTGCTGGGCAGCACGGATGGGTGGCACTGCTAGGCACTGAAGGGCCAGGTGAGTGGCACTGGTGAGCAGCACTGCTTTACTGATCCTCAGTGCCGATCTGTTTTCTGAAAATTGCCAGTGTATCGCGCCGTTCTTTCCTCACGCTGTCACAGCGCCTAGGAAAGTGCAGCTGATAACCGGCAACTGCATTTACCTGGTGATCTGCTGTGTCATTGGGCACAGCTGATCAGGATGTGGTAAAAGGCCGATATGATTGGTCTTTTAACACTTCACATGATCAGCTGTGTCTGTAGAACGCAGCTGAATCACGCAGATCGCCAGGTGCGCTGCCCTGGGAGGACGTTTTATGTACGCGCTCCCAGAACTGGACGACCGCGGATGTAAAAGGTCATTCGGCTATAGCGCGGTTGGCAAGGGGTTACAGCACTTTACTATCTAGATTGTCATTTGTGTTTACAATATATTGTGAGCAACAAAACAGAGCCCAATTGAGAGCTGCTAAGCCAGTCACGGGAAGCTTTGTAGTATATGAATGAACACAAAGCTTCCTATAATTGGCTGAGACAGAGATTGTGACATCGTCTCCCCGCCTCCCCACCTCAGCCAATCAGAGGAAGCTTTGTATCCATTCATAGAATACAGAAGCTTCAGCTACTGGTTAATTGGCGCTCAGTCCGGCTCTGTTTTGTTCCTGAAGGTGTGAGACAGACAGTTTTTATCTCACTGCTGGAACACAGCACTGTATATACAGTGGGGAAAATAATGATTTGATCCCCTGCAGATTTTGTACATTTGCCCACTTACAAAGAAATGAAGGGTCTATAATTTTTTATCATAGGTGTATTTTAAATGATAGAGACAGAATATCAACCAGAAATCCTGAAAAATGATACAAATGTTATAAATGGTGTTGCAGTTCAGTGAGTTAAATAAGTATTTGATCCCCTACCAACCAACATGATTCTGGCTCCCACAGACTGGCTGTGTGCTCATTGAATACACAGATTAGTCCTGTCAATGTAAGAAGGTGCTCCTAACAACAACTCGTTCTGTGTATAAAAGACACCTGTCCACAGAATCTCTTTCTTCCATTCAAATCTCACCACCATGGGCAAGACCACCTGATGTCAGAGGACATCAGGGACAAGATTGTAGACCTGCACAAGGCTGGAATGAGCTACAAGACCATCAGCAAGAAGCTTGGTGAGAAGGAGACAACTGTTTGAGCGATTATTCGCAAATGGAAGAAATACAAAATTACCATCAATCACCCCTCGGTCTGGAGCTCCATGCAAGATTTCGCCTCATGGGGTAGGATGACATGAGAAAAGTGAGGGATCAGCCCAGAACTACACGGGAGGAGCTTGTCAATGATCTCAAGGCAGCTGGGACCACAGTCACCAAACAAACCATTGGTAACAGAATACGCCGCCATGGATTGAAATCCTGCAACGCCTGCAAGGTCCCCCTCCTCAAGAAGGCACATGTACAGGCCTGTCTGAATTTTGCCAATGAACATCTAAATGATTCAGAGAAGGATTGGGAGAAAGTGCTGTGGTCAGATGAGACCAAAATTGAGCTTTTTGGCATTAACTTGACTCACCGTGTTTGGAGGAAGAAAATTGCTGACCATGACCCAAAGAACACCATCCCTGCAGTCAACCACGGAGGTGGAAACATTTTGCTTTGGGGCTGTTTCT